GTTTGACTTTTACTCGCAAAACGAAGTTGCCTAACCCACAAAAAACGTTTAACGCTTTTTGAGATGTATCTCCTCCAGTCATGAACTATGTCTTCATGAAGATCAGCTCCAAAACAGTTTTACTCCAATAATCCCAAATTAAATTCAACAAAAATCGTAAAAGAAAATCTTCGTCAACCATCAGACTACTGCCAGCGACGTTTCGCCGATTCTCTTCGTTCTGCTCCTTCTCAACTAAACGCTTTAATTGAATTGTATTCGGAAATATCGAGCAATTAAAAAAGTGTTGGAAAATTTCTGTATTTCCTTTATTTTTTTCGTTTCTAATTCATCGAACGGCAGCATTGTCAATTAGAAAAGTTATTAATTAAGAGGTGTAATCAGGCAAATAACGAAAGAAACTGCCTAATTACAAAAGTACATCGCATTTTATCCTTTTCAACATTCATTCGACTTATTATTTATCTGTATTTCTAAAGGACAATTCTATACAGGGTGTGTCTCAAAAGTCTCAACTCTTTTTTCTTAAGTTTCTTTCTTAAAGTTCAAACCGCACAAATAGGCGTTTATGGAAAATGTTGCGTCTACAGGGTTGGAACCTTATTTTTCACAATTACCTAGTTACCCATTTTACTAGAGATGTAATAGATTATATTTAGCTTAGATATATTATCTCCATTTCAGTAGTATACATGAAAGTTTTTAAAATAGTTTTTTTCTACATAAAATTTCCTATAAACGTAAAAACCGGCAACACTGTATGCCGCTTTTGATGTTGTCTCTCTGTCTGTCAACCGGTCATTTATATTTTCTCTGTCTTACACGTTAAAATCCAGACCACACTTCTAAAATGACCAAATCAGTATAAAGATCTAACATATGCTCAAATTAAAATGAATAACATTAAATTAAGTATTTTCTTTTTTCCATAAAACACATAGATCTGAAAAGGTTGCAGTAGAACAGAAGCCACCTCAAAAATCTAATCTAATATAGATAACAACTGCCATTTTGTTTTTATGTGACGTTTATAAAACTATTTTCGCCTACACTAAATATTTTTTTAATGACTACTAGTTCAGTCATTGGGGATCAAAAAAGGGGTCTGCTTGGAAAAAAGTCCGGAAGTTCTGAAACTTTGCAGGTTTATAGGTTTTGGGGTCCCTAACTAAAATCAATAAAATGCACATTTCCAGACTTGCCGCCGGCGCCGCCATCTTGCCAAGATGGCGCCCAAAATCGGTATTTTGTGAATATCTCGAAAACTATGCGAAATGTGAAAACTATACTATATATAAAAATTAAAATTAATTATTCATAAATTAATGAGCGAATTAATGATACGCCACTGTTTTATGTCAAAATTGAAGAAACTAAACTAAAACTAGTTTTAGTGAACCCTAATCGACATTTGATTTCGTAAAATCGACTATACATAATATATCATATTTTACGCAAAATTGTAAAATTTCCAGGGATTTTGTGCCTAAACGGTTGATTTTAGCAAAAATTTTCATAAAACCTTTTTTATAGGAAATTTTATTCTCTTTAATTTTGCTCTCCTCAAATTTTCGCGAAAAACGCATAGTTTTCGAGATATTCACAAAATACCGATTTTGGGCGCCATCTTGGCAAGATGGCGGCGCCGGTAGCAAAATGGCGGCGCCGGTGGCAAAATGGCGGCGCCGGTGGCAAGTCTGGAAATGTGCATTTTATGGATTTTAATTAGGGACCCCAAAACCTATAAACCTGCAAAGTTGCAAAACTTCCGGACTTTTTTCCAAGCAAAAATTCCCAATGACTGAACTATACAGAAATATAGAAAAACGTAATAGACCGAAATAGACACTGCAATGTTGCATAAACCTAAAAAGCAACTAAACAGGAGTAATCCCTCGCTGACACTTTTCGCCAACTAAGTAAGCTGTAGAGTTTTACTTAGAGGTCTTCATGAAGACCGACTGCAGCAAGAGAGATTTACTTCGTAATCTGAAAGAAAAAAAAAACAAAAAGAATCGCGGAAGAAGCGCTTTATCAACATCAGGCAACTGTCAGCGACGTCTTGCCGACTCTCTTCGTTTAACATCTTCGTATCTAAACGATTTAATTGAACTGGTTTCGGAAAGATTTCGAGTAACTATAATTATCCTAAAGGTGTATGTGTTTCTGAGGAAGAGTCCGATATTTCGTAGGTAATATTTCAGATATTATTTATGTAAATAGTTCAAATAAACATGTGGGTATTTGGATATAAACATGATTGATAAAAGTGCTTCGTCTTGGAGATACAGGCTGTCAAAGTTTTATAAAATAAATCATATTTTTTGTTTTCATAAAAATATAAAGATTGACTCCGAAGACTTTATTATAAAAAAAAACATTTTTTTCTAAAAACTTGACACCATGTGTATCCTGAAAGCGAAGCATTTCAGGACACATGTTTATATGAATTTCTTACACTGATAAAAAAGATAGACTTGAACTAAAGTCGTCATCGTCCTTGAAAAAAAAAATTAGTGGCAAGAGAATTTATTTTAGCGTAAAAGAAAATATTTTGCCTGAAGAAAAACTCTCTTAACTCAAGAAAACTGGTTCTCTTGAAAAATTCGAAAATTTCTCTTGAATCTATTTTCATTCAACCAGGTGCTAGTTACTTTGTTTTAAGATAATAACAAAAATACGCTAGGAAGTATTTCATTCAAGAAATTTGGCCATTTTCCAATAGCTAAATACTCTTTTGATGAAAAATAATAACGGCACGCAAAGACGATAACGAAGGATGGTATATACAATCAGTCGGCAGTCCGATCAGTTGTACGTCGCATTTTATAAGTCGCACATCATAGTACGCACGGGTTTTGTTGCTTGGAATTTTCCACTTGGAATTTTGCATAATTTGCTTTTTAAATGCATATCGTATAACAAATTAGTGATAGTTATTAACATGCATTTGTCATTTTTTATGGACAAATTTTAGGATATATGGATTCTTTAAAGGAGTTTCTGAAAAAATGGAAATTAGAGCATTTATTTGCTATATTTGAAGATAATAGACATTTACCTAATGCACCTGTTTAGATAATACATGCGTGATTATAGATAGAATAAGAATATTGGTATCGATTTTTTTATGCAAATAATTACAAAAAATTTAGAATTTCAAGTCGTCGTATTAAAAAATTCAAAATGTGACCAAAGCTTATAATTTTAATAATTTATTTGCTTTACTTTGATTAATCGTGATGTAAAATTTTTTCTAATTTGTAGAGTGATGAACCACCCCAAAAAATACCAAGGAGTGAAAAAGCAGAAATAACTACTATCGAGGAAAATAATATCACTTTACTTACTACAGACCAGGAAAACCTAAATTTATCAGAAAATAATATACCTCGTAATATGCCTGTATATGATGTATAGACTTCTCTCAGATCAAAATAAATTTTAGTTGAGTCAATAGTATTCGTTATTAGTTTAAGAAAAGTGTCTCTTTAATCAAGAAATGTCCCTTTTCAATCAAGAATCAAAGAGACTATTGTTCTTGTAGCAAGAACTTCTTTCATATTCATTTTGGGTCAAGAGTGAAATACTTTGGACAGATAGATTCTTCTATTCTCTAAACTAATTTTTTAAAGCTTATGAAAAGATAGTTAATGCTTTGGGCAAAGAAACGTCGTTCTTGGCCCTATTGAAAAGCGCCAATCTTATGGGTCAAAGTCATATTCATTTCGACAGAGAGATCCTTTTTTTCAGTGTAGTGATGTGTCTGTATTTGAGTAACGCGATTTTGGAGCGGTATTATTTTGTAACGCCGTGTCGCGCTCCACAACGAATGGGGAACCTGTTACTGAAGAACGACGACCATAATGACGACAAAATTATAAATTATTTATAATTTGCAAACAAATTATTTATAATCGCTCTTGAAGTTAGCTTGAACCGTAGTAACCGAATAACGACGTGTTTAGCTCCAGCCGTCGCGATTTCGTCGGTCGCCTACAATAGTTACTGGAACTGTACGTAGCGTCGGGCGATCTCGATGGCGACGTGTTCGCTCCAGCCGTCGCGCTCCTAGAGTTGTAGTTCCCTGTCGCGAACAGAAGTAACTGCTGTAACTGGGCGTCGACGCTCCACCTCGGCGGCGGCCTACTTCGCTCCAGCCGTCGCGCTTCTAGAGTTTTAGTTCCCTGTCGCGAACAGAAAACAGAAGTAACTGCTGGAGCGCTTCTAGGGTTTCGTTTTCGCTTGTAGCGATTTGGTCGGTTACTATTGGCCTTGGTGCTCCCGTCGTTACGTTACTTTTGAAATAGCGATTTTTGGTATGTACTAAGCATGGTATAAAATAGCGTTGTTTGAAAGATGAAACGTAAAAGCAAATAAAATAAAATGAAAATTTTATTTGCTTTTATACATTTAAGTATATGAGTTTTATTGTTTATATCTATTTTTAAGGTCTGATGATGGCTGGAATTGCCGAAACCGGTCACCAATAAAGAATTTTTTTGACAGTGGTTTCGACTTTGTTCTTGTTTTAACATTAAATATATTATATTGCAATTTGGCAATACATATAAATATGAGCCGTTGTTTTTATTTAAATGAAGCATTTATTTAAATGAAGCAGAATTAGTAAAATTACATTAATCTACAAATATAGATATGTTAGATATATTATTTAATATACAAGTACTGGGGATGGCTAAAAACATAAAATGCATTCCTTGATATTTGTTTAAAAATTAAAATTTTAAATATTTGTTAAATCCGATTTAGAACGTATTGATGTAGATATGTGAGTCATTTACTGAAAAAATCAAGTATGCTGGGCATTCGCCGTTTTAACAAAAAGCGAGATAAAGGTAAAGTTTTTGATTTACGGTCACGGGTACCGAAATAACGGCAGGGTTGGGAGCATTGTTGCCAGAACTATCATTCTGTATAATAAATTTAAAAATACAATTTATATCATTACGAAAGTTTTATTTTTAAAATTTGCAGTTTGTAAAAAAGGTGGTGGAAAAGTCAATAATAAATATAAACAATAAAATAAGAAGGTAAAAAAAACTGTTATTTCTTTTTTGCATTTTTACTACAGCGCAGAAGCGTAACCGTATCAAGAACGGTTCTCTGCTATGTTGGAACTAACCTGTTATATCGTACCGAAATAACAGAATCATTTCTACTTTTTTTTCTAAATCTTTTATTGTTCGACTCGTACGCAAAAACCAAAAACGAGTTTATCGTACAAAATGGAAAAGCTACCACACGGGCGCACCGTGGAAAACTTTATATTTGCCAGACGGAGCGAACAAATCAAACTGGAAAAGTTTCAATATTGTCCTCGGTTTTTGTTGCGTTTTTCCAATACTATCGATCGTTTTTGGTGAGATTTAAATAGCAAAGAAACTAATAAATTGGCTTCCTCCTATTATTTGTTCGAAAACTCGACGCATCTGAAACATTATTCCACTTTGAATGAAATAAAATAAAAACAAACTTAGAGGATAATAAGTTTTGTAACACTTCATAATCTTTTAACGTTTTGAAAGATGTTTCATTCCGCAAGTGGTGACGAAAGGTAAGTGTACCAGTGTTCGTCACTTTCTTTGTCGCAACACAGATTTTTGTCAAAAAATTAAGGAATTTTGATATAGCATAATAATAAATCAAAATATATTCACAGATTTGACATTATTTGATCGATTTCGCAACTTGTGCATTTTTTAATAGCTGCATGTCCATAATTCGTTTCTGCATTAATTTTTGGTACGTGATTGCGACGATCAGAGGCGGATACAGGAATTTATTTTAGGGGGGGGCCAAAATAAAAAGTAATGTAGATTATGCTTTTTAAGACACCATTTTTAACCCAAAAACCTAATATTTTACACAATTCACAGACTTTAGGGGGGGCCCGGCCCCATGGGCCCTCCCCCTGTGGGCCACTGGCGACGATGTTGGTTCTGTGCAAGTTCTTTAACGGCTATGTTAAGACATCCAAACTTTTAAGCCCACGGCCACACAGAAAGCGTTTTGCGTTTTTTGCGTCTCAAGCGCTTTTTGCGATTTTACCGTTTTAAGCGTTTTTTTCGATTTGTGGTTAAAAACACACAAAAGACGCGGCAGGTCTGCAGTTTCTAACAAGATGTCAATTAGTAACGTCGCAAGCTCGTGGATTCCCGGCCCGTTCAACAATCAATCCTGTGAGAAAGAGATAGGCGAGATCGGCGCGGTTAGCGTTGAAGAGACGAAGATAAAAGATGCTGGGATTGAATTGTGGACGGGCCGGGGCATATGTTCGGCGACAAACACAATCTACTGCTAGTGCCAGTGGTGTGTGTAAAAATAATAAATAGTATTTGCCATTTATTTTACGAATTTTAGTTTATATGTGTATAGTTTTTTTATGTTGTAGTGTTGTGGTTACTCGTTATAATTATAATATAATATAAAAAAAAGAATTATAATTATATAATAGAATAGTAAATATATATTACTAGTTGCTAACGCAATTTTAGGACATGATTTATGAAACTTTTTGGAGTGAAACTTCTTTATGCGCGCTGGGAGTAAACATTCAAGGCCATGACATACGAGCTATTGAGACGGCCCCGACACACGAGCTAGCTGTAACGAAACGTGTTAACGGCTTAGAAATACGTAGTGACGCGACGTGTATGTGTGCGCAGTCCTCGTGTTTATCAAAAATATTGATATTTTAATACAAATTTTGTAAAAGTGAATCAAATTATTACGTGTAAAAAACCATTTGTTACACGTAAAAAAACTATTTTTATATTTTTATGCGAATAAAACTGTTATACGTAAAAACTATTTTTTATGCGTATAAAACTATTTGTTACTGGTAGAAAACTATTTTTTACGCGTATAAAACTATTTGTTACGTGTAAAAATCTATTTGTTAAACGTAAAAACTATTTTTTTACGCGTCAAAAACTTATTGTTTCTGATAAAAAAACCTTTTTTACGCAAAAAGAAATATTTTTTACGTGTAAAAAACTATTTGTTAGACGTAAAAAAAAATTTTCGCGTCAAAAACTTATTGTTTCTGGTAAAAAAACTTATTTACCCAAAAAAAAATTTACGTGTAAAAAACTATTTGTTACACGTAAAAAAACTATTTTTTACGCGTTAAAAACTTATTGTTTCTGGTAAAAAACTTTTTTACACAAAAAAAATATTTTTTACGTGAAAAAAACTATTTGTTACCCGTAAAAAACTATTTTTTACGCGTCAAAAACTATTTGTTTTGGTTAAAAAAACCTTTTTTATGCAGAAAAAAACACTTTTTACGAATAAAAAACTATTTTTTACGCGTAAGAAAATATTCCTTTAATTTATGACCTTTTCAACAATTCAAATTACATTTTTTCAAACATTTCCTTGAAATTTTTGAATTTAATAGAATCTTCCTAAACAGTAGATGTTCTCTATAAAAATATTTTTAGATAATATCCTAAAATGAAAAAATGCTATTACTATTTAATTTATTTTTATAGTATTATTAAATATTACGTTCGCCTATGACGGGGTCTCATAGAAAACGCTAAAGACGCTACAGAAAACAAATTGATTTGTTTTCATTTGCGTTTTTTGCGAGACACGCCGAGCGCTAGACGCTTTTGGTGGGGCCACTCCTATATAATCCTGTTATTTTGTTTTAGACGCAAAAGACGCTTCACGCTAAAAACGCAAAAAACGCTTTCTGTGTGGCCGCGCACTAAGATAGATTAGAAGTGTACAAAATTAAGTTTAATTATGCATGTTTTATATTAAACAACCTGTATTGATATTAAATTTGCTGTCTTTAGGCGATTATACAAGATTTAAAGAATATTTTTAATTTATTTTCGTGTACCGATTATTAGGTTTAATAAAAGTGGTGGTGTCCTAATAATAGGCACATATGACGGTTACTGGTGCATGTAAGTCAAAATTATAATTGCGTATAAATTAATTAGTTTTGTTAGTATGTATATTATATAGGGACGAATGGGATAAGCCGAGAAATAGAGACAAGGTCATATTTTGGAATTATTGCCCTGGTTTTTCAAAATGACTGAAAAACATATGTTTAATTTTTTAAATATAAACATAGCCATATATCCTAAACAACATTTTTATGAATTTGTAAATCAATCCATATTTACAGTAGCGGATTTTGTTCATAAAAGGACAAATTTGCCTGACAACTAAATGTTGGAAGTATTTTAAAATAATTAATATCATAGGCGGCTTTGCTATAAACGTCACAAATGTCGCAAACTGTTTACTTCAGCATTGACAGCTTGTAAGTGACTCGATACTTTGAGTAGTGAGACTTACTGTAAGTAATTTTAATTTTTTTAATTTTCAATTTTGTTAATTTAATCCACAGTAATGGTCCGTGGAAAAGTTACAAATCAAAAACTAGGCGAAATTATCATTCGTCAATACAGTATGGGAAAAACAATTCGAAAAATTTCTGATGATTTAAGCATTCCAGAAACTACGGTCTTTAATATAATAAAAAAATACGGCGAATCTGTCAGTGTAGGCGTTAGAGGTAAAAGTTCGGAAAGGCCAAAAGTTGTATCTCAGAGAGATTTACGAAATTTAGTAAAAATTTGCAAGTCTGCGAGAAGAAGTACTCTTCGCGAAGTAACAGTTAAATGGAATACTGTAACTGGATTAAATATATCAAGAGAATGTTGCCTAAAATATATCCATAAATGCGGTCTGGGGTTTTACAAGGTAAACTTTATTTTGTGTGGATAATCAATTACCTGAAGATTATTGATACAAATTCTTATTTAGGCCAAAGAAAAACCGCTACTGACAGAAATTCAAAAAAAAATCGCTACAATTAGGCAAAATCTAAATTATCGTGGACACAAAATGATTGGAATAAGGTCATATTTAGCGATGAGTCTAAATTTGATGTTTGCGTTGGAGATCATCGAAAAAGAATAATACGAAATAAAACAGAAGCCTTTCATAAAGATTGCTTAAAGAGAGTTGTTAAATTTCCTAAGGGGATTATGGTGTTGCATGTCAGCAAGAGGTTTGGGCAAATTAAATTTTATAGATGGCACTGTTAACGCCCAAAAATATCAACGTATACTTGAGACCTCACTTTTGCCTAGTGCTCAAGAATTGTTTCCAAACGAAAACTATATTTTTCAACAAGATGGAGCATCGTGCCATTCAGCAAAATCAACTAAAAATTGGTTCGGTAATAATAATATAAAAGTTCTATCCTATCCTGCAAGTAGTCCGGACCTCAATGTTATAGAAACTGTGTGGCATAAAATGAAATATTTAAGAAACCACCCTTAACGAACAATTTTTGATTTGCGGACAAAACTGCAGGAAATTTGGGATAATTTTTCTCCTCAAATGTGCCAATCTTTGGTAAATACAATGCCATTAAGAGTTCAGGCAGTTGTTAAGGCGAAAGGTGATGTAACTCCGTATTAAACAAATTTCTTGTTGTGCTGTCCCAATATATAGTTGTCAGCAAATTTGGCTTGATTTTGGCAAAATAAGCTATTATCAAAAGTGATTTGTTTGCAAAGTTATAAAAATATAGTAAAATTGTCTAGATCATATTGTAATGTTTGAATTTAGAATAATAAACAAAATAAATTGAGTCGTTTTAACAAATTACTATTTTTATTGCAAAAAAAGACCTTGTCCCAACACATAGTTGTTAGGGCTCGTACACGGACGGATCCAAAAATGATAAAGGATCTGGCGCAGGAATTTACTGCAGCAGTCCAAAGACTGAGATCTACCACAGTCTATGAAAACTGCTGGTAGAACAGCAATACACCGGGAAAACAATAAGCATATTTTCGGATAGTCAAGCCGCATTGAAAGCATTTGAGGCAACGAAAAGCACGTCTATGACGATTCTTCAATATAAGGAACTACTCAATATATTAGAAGATAGGAACAAAGTGTCGCTAATATGGATACCGGGACATGTCGGCCTAGAGAGAAATGAACGTACTGATTCCCTCGCCAAAACTGGTGCAGGCTCGCCATTCGTGGGCCCAGAACCGACACATAGCGTACCAAAAAATCTCGCAAGAGACAGGCTCTGTGAATGGGTTAGGGATGCGACATTTCGGGGCTGGTATGACAGTCCCGGAATGGAACATCCCAAGACAATCCTAGCAGGGTCATCCAAACGTAGAACAGATGAACTCCTAAAGGCTGGTAGGAACGGAGCGCGTACGCTTACTGCAGTATACACGGGCCACTGCCGGCTGAGATCACACCTGCAGAGGATGGGTCTGGTGAAAGACGCCGAATGCCGACTCTGTATGGAAGATGACGAAACAATGAAGCACGTTATGTGTAACTGCCTCGCTGGGGGCAGGACAAGGTTTGAAATGTTTGGCAAACCCACGCTAGACCTAGAAAAAAAAGATTTATAGCGATAATTGGTGCTACAGAAACTTAAAACTACGATCTAGAATAATGAATTCGATATATTATCTGCTTAGTGATGTTGGTAGCGAATATTTCCATTCCAATTTTGCAGGAAATTTCCGAAATATTCGGTCCCAAAATCGTGAATATTCGCAGAAATCCGAATTTTGCAAGAAATTTCTTTTCAAAATTCAAGACATTGAGCAAAAATTTAAAGTGTATCAAGTATGCCTATTCTTAAATCAGAAGAAAAAGAATGCTTCTCCGCCTTACAAAATAGAAAACGTATGGCTCTTAAAATAATGCATTTTGCCGCGAATCTCTTGGCCCCCTCTGTTTCCTGGGAAAGCACCTTAACAATGAAGAACACATAGCCACTATGGAATTTATCAACAATATCACCAACAAACATCCTCAGTTTGTCAATAATAAAGAAGCCATTTTTACAGATGTAATAAATTATTCCGCCAAATCGGGTTTATGGGCTCTCGACTACGTTTGGATGTCAGTTAAAAATGTAGACTGTCTAAGTTGGTGGCAAGCAATATGTAAAAATACTCAGTTGAAATATTTAGCTGTTGCTCTGCTGTCTACCAACATCATCTGCAGCCCCTGAGGGGAGTTTCAGTACTTACAGTTGTATCCACACTAAAAAAGGAATTGCTTAACTGCACAAAAAGCCGGCAAAATAATGTTCGTAGCTCATAACAATAAATTATTACTACAAAAACAAAAAGTGGATATGGAACATGATATGCAACAACATGAAACTCCTCCAGAACCACTAGAACCCGTAGAGGTAGAGCTCCATCCTTCAGAATCAGAACCAGATGATACATCAAATATACCTGATTTGGAAATAAAAACTGACGAAGACAGTACTACTACTACTACTACTACTACTATAATACCCTATGAAGATGGGACCAGCTGAAAAAGGCGCCTGAAAGTATTTCGGAATAGAATAATTCAGTTATTTGTGTTTTACGTTTTTTAAATTTATATTTCGTGCTTTTTTTTATTTTAAGTTCATAGTCATAGTTCATGGTTTATGTACAAAGTACAAATGTTACCAAATAATTTTTGTTATATGTTATGTTTATGACTTTTAGGAGTTATGTATTGTTTATTAAAAATATAACAACTAATATTATGTTTATTGTTTTTTTTTCACTTACATGTTGGTATCAAATGTCTATCTAATTTATTCATTGTATCAACAAAAAATATGTAAAATTGTAAAATTTCCTAAAATTTCATAAATTTCCGAAAGTTTCCGAAAGTTTCGGAAATTTCCTGGAACAATCAAAAGTTTCCGAAATATTAACATCACTATATCTGCTTATAAATGAAATTATTACCAAAAACAATATACCATAAACTTGGATATACCACCATACGTATTACGAACTTTTCTTAATGTGACGAGACACTGGTACATTTACCTAAATAAATAATTCGTCACCAGTCGCTTAAAAAACAAAAAAGAAGTTTTATTGACATAAATGCTCATGTTGGACTGCCTAATGTTTGAGAAGATGTTAAGAAAGTAAGTCTTCTTCACGACTGTGGCCTGAACTATGCTGTAAAAACACTAGATATTTGAGAAGGAATAAATCAGTTCCATATTTGGATAGCATGCAAAAAATATATAAATTTATGTAAGACCTACCTATTAGTTCAAAAATGTACATTATTTAAATTATACCCTTTTCAAAATTAAGTTACATATTTAGAATAAAATCACTATCATAATTTTCTTGACGTAAATGCGGATGCTTATTGGATTAAGTTTTGTGAGGGTGGATTGTACTATGCTGTTAAGACACTGGATAATGCTAGAAAGAAAAAATCAGTTCTATACTTTATCATGCTAAAAATGCGTGTATTTAAATTACACCTACCTATTAATTGAAAACTCAATGTGATCAATTTTATCAAACTATATAGTGATGTCTTTTAATTCTAGGAAAGCAATTATGTTGAATAAAGGTTCTTATATTTCGATTATATAATTATCAGTTTCTAAAATTGCTTCGCGCATGCTCTCTCCTAATCATATTTGAGGCCTGACCTACATCTCGAACGGTACTGTGACATGATCCTTAAAAAATAAAAAAAATAAAAATAAAATTATAATGATTAAAGCTAATAAAAGATAATATAAATAAAATAACTAATTATATAAGGTAAGGGATCCGTATCCGTACTACCTACAACCCGAATATAATGTTTGAATAACATTCTATGTATATTCAATATTAGAATATTTGTGAAAATGTTGAAGCTTAAAAATTAACTACCGAAAAAGTCTAAAATCCAAAACTCTACAACCTTACTTTAAATCATGACTTCAAATCATTTGACTTAAATCATGCAAAACCTGTAAATTTACAAAAAATATTAAATTAATAAGTGAAAGTTTTTTTTTCAAATAGGCCAATATTAACCGGTACCACAATTTAAATACTGGCAGAGTTCCGATTTCTTGAAAAGCCGAGAACAATAAGCGTTGCACAAATATTGAACTTTATCGGAAAATATCGCGAGGGCTTGGAGCCTTTTGAAAAGGAAGTCCAAAACACGTGTGTTTTTTTTCTAAAATACTCTTTTAACAAAATCAATGTGGCTGAATTAAGGTTAACGCGCAATAACCCACATATACAGGGTTGTTCACCACATACGACACGGAGTATTGTAGCTAAACGATGAGATTTTTACAAATTGTAAGTTTGGGGTTCGTTGAAGGACTATTAGAGCTACAATTTAAAAATATTTTTACAAGATACAGAGTGTCCCAAATAAATAAAAAATATCAAAGTTGTATTTTTTAAATGGAACACCCTGTATATTATTACATTTTTAGTTTCTACGATTAAAATAAAGGTAAATTTGATTAAGGTTTATTATACTTAAACCTTACCGTTTTTGAAATATTTTCAATTTTGTGAAATTGCAGTAAAATTTTAAAGCTTCATTTCTCCAGGGTATCAATGTTTTTAATACTAAATATTTAATGAAGTTTATTTATTGATCAGTTATTGTGTTGCAATAATAAAAATAATACTACCTTATACAGAGTGTCTAAAAATTTATTTTAAATAATTATTAGCTTCAAACGGCAATAACTTCTTTAATTTAAATGGAATGCCTGTATATTTTAGGAGAATCAGATGCACAATTAAATTGTCTATCAAATTGTATTATACCATTTTTTACCTATCCCTTCAAGTTTTTGTAGAAAATGCATTTTCTTATAATTTAGACCTCATTTATCAATATACCCATGGAATATTGACATTTTAGATTGTTTTTAAAGCAACAAATGTACAAAATGTACAGACTAGTAATATTATTACAGAAGACAAAAAAATCACCTGTCTTGCTTTGCTTGATTTTAGCAAGGCATTTGATACTATAAATTATGATATGTTACTAGCTAAACTCCATTACTTCGGATTATCAGAAAACTCTATAACGTTTTTTAAAAATTATCTTTCTAATCGTCTGCATTGCGTTCAAGTAAGACAGGGGAATCATCAATTAAAGTCAAATTACGTTTCTATGACATGTGGAATTCCTCAAGGATCCATATTAGGGCCATTGCTATTTTCATTATATGTTGCCGATATGAATAAAGAAATTGAGTTTTCTACATTACAACAGTACGCAGATGATTCACAAATTTACTGTGCTTTTGCATCTGATAATTTAAAACAAGCTGAAGAAAATTTTAAAACAGATATTAATAACATATACAAATATTCAATGGAACATAATCTAAAATTAAATGCATCCAAATCGTGTATTATGCTGCTTGGAAATAATCAGACTATTCTCAATTATCTATCAGACAATCTTGATATATGTGTTAATAATACTAAAATACCAATAGTTAAGGACGCTAGAAATCTCGGCATATATTTTGACTCTAATTTAAAATTTGATATACATGTAAAAAATAAATTGAAAATTGCATATATGCGACTAAAAGGTTTGGTTTATTTTAAGAAACATCTTCCTCAGAATACAAAATATTATCTGTGCAATTCGCTAATTTTGTCCTTGTTTGATTACGGAGATGTGGTATACGGCTCTTCATTGACTCAAATAGTTGCCAGATCCATTCAAAAACTTCAAAATTCCTGCATGAGATTTTCGTATAATATCTCATTTCGTACACATATTACGCCATATTTAAATCAATTTAATATTCTGTCTATGGTAAATAGGCGAAAACTTCATATGTTAACATTTATCTACCGTATCTTACAAACTGGCCAACCGCCTTATTTAAAATCATTGTTTATTCCTTTTAACCACACTCATGTAACAAGAAACTTACATCGTTTCAGAATACCTCAACATAGGACGGCTGGCTTTCAGAAATCGTTTTCTTTTCTTGCGCCTCAATTATGGAATTCTCTTTCAATCAGTGTTAAATGCTTTAAATCACATTATTTTAATAAATATGTTAAGAATAATTTGCTGGTTTTACAATCGAATATAATATAGAACTTATTTCTAAATTTATCTTTTATCTTTTGTTATTTTGGCAAACTGTGGTGAACGGGCCTTTAATTTGATATGGTTTTGACTGGCTCACTGCTCAGCTTTACAATTTTGGAAAATATTTGTGTATGTGTTGAAATTGTATTTATATATTTTTTAACATTGCTAAATTGTCTTGCAGACGCTTTGTTCTGTGCGCTCGGGGTTTCTTTTTTGCTTTGCCGGTGGTCCTCTGTTTTTCTTACGGGTTTGTTTGTTGTTGGTATATTATTGTATTGAAAATGAAATTCTGTTTAGTTATTTTTTACAGGGAGTGTGCCACACTGATGCCTTTGGCAATCAGTGAATCGGTTTTGTAATCGCGGTGCACTCCTTATTAGGCTATTAGGCTATTAGTCAGCCAAAGTATGGTTTATATTTTATATATTTTTTATATTGGGGCCTAATAAAGAGATTTGATTATCGTTTTTAGCAAAACTATATTGCATACAAATGTATGCAAAAAGAAAACTATTTAAATCTTTATAAAAGAGTATACCATTAATTAAATATAACACCATTATTTCCGCCCATATAATAATTAATGACATACTTAATTGTGTTCGTTAATAAATTATTATAAATAAATGTGGATTTTTGAGTCAGAAATCAAGATAATAATAAGTTATCAAATTAAAGTCTTTGTTGTTATAAATAAGCATTTATTAAAAAATGAAATATCATTTTTAAGGTGTTACTTTTTATCACACTCTCTAATGCCCATACAAAATTCAGTTTTTTAGTATTTGGAGCAATTATTATTAATCAACGCAAACAGTCAGTTAATGTAGTTTGAATACTGGATTCATATTAATTGGTCCTCTTTAACAAATATTTAAACAGTTTTTTTTTTAGTTTTTAATGAAATAAACGAATTATATCGACAATATTAGTATCTGTACTCTTTAAAAATTTGGTACATCTTTAAAAATGACCTAAAATGTCAATAGTCCATGGGTATATTGATAAATAAGTTCTAAATTACAAGAAAATGCATTTTCTACGGAAACTTAAAGAGATAGGTAAAAAATGGTTTAATATAATTTGATAGACAATTAAATTGTGCATCTGATTCTAGTAAAATATACAGGGTGTTCCATTTAAATTAAACAAGTTATTGCCGTTTGAAGCTAATAATTATTTAAAATAAATTTTTAGACACTCTGTATAAGGTAGTATTATTTTTATTATTACTACACAATAACTGATCACTAAATAAACTTCAGTAAATATTTAGTATCAAAAATTTTGATACCCTTGGAGAAATGAAGCCTTAAAATTTTTACTGCAATTTCACAAAATTGAAAATATTTCAAAAACGGTAAGTATAATAAATCTTAATCAAATTTACCTTTATTTTAATCGTAGAAACTAAAAATGTAATAATATACAGGGTGTTCCATTTAAAAAAATACAACTTTGATATTTTTTACTTATTTGGGACACTCTGTATCTTGTAAAATTATTTTTAAATTGTACCTCTAATAGTCCTTCATCGAACCCAAAACTTACAATTTGTAAAAATCTCATCGTTTAGCTACAATACTCCGTGTCGTATGTGGTGAACAACCCTGTATAATATCTATTAGCATCATTTTTTTTCTTAAACTTGACATACTAGAAGTTCATGACAAATCGATATTTCTGGCTATGTAATCAGTGGCCGGCCACGGCTACAGGAATAAAGTGTCGCTGCCAGAGGTACTGAGTTGGATCCCGAGCCAGTACGTTCGCTTTATTTATTTACATACTATTTTACCTTAAAGGTGCATCCACACCATCGTAGAAAAAGAAAAACGGCTGATCGGCGTATCGATCTCCAGCAATTCTATTGGCAGAAATTTTTCGAAAATTCCTCTGTCAAAAATTACAGGACTTTTCATTTCATTTCGGGAGGATCCCGGTGTATGTTTATCCTGGAAATCCCGATATTAAATCCCGGGATCCAGAAAATTTCTGAAAATTTAAATGCCCAATCTAAAATAATTTCGACTTTATACAATTAAGGGTGACTGCAACGACATCCCATAATCCTGCTGTTAAAACATAACAATATATAAAAACCAGCTGTTTTAACAGCAGGATTACGAGATGTCGTTGCAGTCACCTTTAAGCTCCGCGCGCACTGAATAGGTATCGGCGAGGGCGAGCGGCGCGACCGACACGACCGGTCGGAAAGTCGATTGTAGCCGCGCACTGGAGTCGCACGATCGGCGGTCGAGAGTACGTCACCAGCATAAATTTGAGCATAGACGAGGAGAAGTTTATTCAAATTTAGTCAAATTCATTCGGCATTTCAAAAAATTATAAAGTATTATTACTATTTATATTTTTATGCAACTTTTTATATTTTATGCTTTATGATGGAAATTGATATTATTTAGATCTTAACCAAACACACATTAATAAATTTAGATCTTAACAAACCACATAAAATTAGTGAAATAGAGTGGAAGATGGGGATAAAATATACTACATGACTCTTAGCTTAACCGATTTTAACAAATTTGGTATAACTCAAAAGGGTTTAATTTGTTCTTTAAAAACAAAGCTAGATATGAAAAATAGTCAAATAAAACTTTTATTTCTAGTTTTTTAATCTAAATAAGTGTCATTACAAACATTTATATATCGCTTTTATTTTAAGTTTTTAAAATCTTTGTTTTAAGTCAGTAGTAAATAAAACGAAACTTGTGTTTACATTTTGTTTAATGATTGACGTTTCGACCAATTTTAATTCGGCCTTCTTCAGAATCTATAATATACGTATAAATAATTTTCTACGTTTGTGGTAAGAAAAAATTATATATTAAACACATTGTTAGTGATAAAATTGTATTGTATATTATAGATTCTAAAGAAGACCGAACTAAAATTAGTCGAAACGTCAATCATTAAACAAAATGTAAACACAAGTTTCGTTTTATTCACTACTGACTTAAAACCAAGATTTTGAAAACTTAAAATATAATAAAAAAGTCAAAGAAAATTGAAAAAAGAAAAAATATAAATAGTTTTTATAGTACCGTATTATCGAAAAGGAACGGCATTAGCGATGACCATGAAATGAAGGTCGGTGCCATTTTATATGTAAATTTATATAGGAAATGTCATCAATCGTCATTTCCCATCCAACTGGACGCCGTTTTTTTCTATCATACGGTAGATATATGTACAAATATTTTATTCAAACATAAATATTATTTTCTCTATTTGTACCTTTTACGGAGCGATCAACATAGTAACATAGGATGACTATTTATCAGCTGTTATTACTAACGTCAAAACAAACCAAAAATTAAATAATATGATAAGTTTTTTGACGATATTTAAATTCGATTTTCAAAATAATGTGAGATAATCAAAACGAGATGAGAAATAAATGGGTTTAATATGAAGGTTTTCTAATTCAGTTATTGAATAAGTGTAGTAAACAATATAGGTTACGTGCTTGTAAGAAATTTTTATCAGAAACCGCATATTAAGTATGATATGGTCTCGTACACTTTCGATTAATAATTCATCGGACATGTCCGATGCAGTGTGGCGGAGCCTTACATTTATTTCAACGTAAACTGAAAATTACGTGCCGCTCGCTCTCGCCGATACCTATTCAGTGCGCGCGGAGCTTTAGTCTTTCAAAGGAACAAAATATCAAGTATGCGACATTTTTAAAAAGGTAATTTTATGTTCTTTTCAGTTAATTAAAAATATACAGGGTGTCCAAAATAAAAAATCAATTTTTCTGTTGATAACTCGTAAATTATTAATTTAAAAAAATTATACTTAAACCATTAAATTCTACCTAAAAAGGTGCTTTGGAAATGTTTTCATAAAAATTCAAAATTTACCATAGCAAAAAAGTTACAGCGATTAATTAAAAATTCACATTTTTGAAAAGCACCCCGTAACTCCGGAACGGTAATAGATATCGATTTTTTTCGATTTGTTTTTGATAAAAATTGAACATCAGACACCAATATTAGTTTTCATCTATCTCCTATAGAAAAAGGTGTTTCCCTTTAAAAGCGTCTAATTTGACCCACTCTGTACACCTGTCTCTTTGTGAAAGCTATGATCCGGCACCCAGCATATAATTTAATTCTACCAGTTTCTAGTTCAACCAGGCAATTATTATATCTCAATGAAGGGGATAATTTATTAACACCAAATATTGTTATGATTTTTGGAAATCTTCTCTCTCGTCGGTCTCACTTGCACCGAAGAATTCCGTCCGTATAGTATAGTCCAAATAAATTAGATGTAAATGCGTCATATAAATATTAGTTTGTAAACAAATTTTATTAATTTATAGTCTTAAATAATGTTTAGTGTTGTTCTTTTAGGTTAATAAAATTTGTTAGTTAAATTAGACATTTGATTATATCCACACGGAACACAACAAAAACGCAACAATACATTATATTGTTTTAAGTGGTTAGCTAAAATGCTTTTCTCGTCTTCAGTAGCAAGTACTAAGCATAAGCAAAATATTCCCTTAAAATGGAAAACAACCTGTTTCACAAGCAAAATTTCTGCACACCTAAGGGGAACAAAAGACAGATATGGGACCCGAAACGCTGTTGCATACGTAAAGGCTTTCTCGCTCGCAGTATCGGACGAGAAAAAGACAAAAAAAAATAAATAAGCCATTCCACATTGCCTCTGTGTTACGTCTCAGTTAACCACATGGGGAAGAATAAAAGAACGGAGAAAATATGAAAAAGGTACAAAATAAAAAGGAGAGTAAAATACTTTTATTAGATGAACACTTTCTTTTTTAATATTTTATATATTTATATTTTATTTTTATATGAAACCTGTTACAAAATATGTTACTTTGAATGTGGTAGACAATTCAGTATTGAAACTAAAAGAATTTCGGACTTCCATTGGCTTTATTTATTTTGCTTACACAACCTTATCAAGTGTGAAGTAATCTAAAGCCTAAAACTACTGAACGTAATATAGGCACTTGGTTCACTTGAAAAAAAATGTTGGAAAGCTAATTGTGGTCTTGATTTGTTCAGTTGACATGAAAGATAATGATCCTAGTTTTGCACCGTTGCTCGACTCAGGAGGACCAAAAGATAAAATAAAATTTTTGGACTTTTTTCATATTTTCGCCTATAGTTCCGAAACTTTGCATTCTAGCCAATATTTCTTTAAAAAATTAAAGACCACTAAATTCTGCGTATAATGAATGTCAATTCGTTCAATTCGGTCCAGTAGTATGACAGAAATCAACAGATGAAGAATGGTGATATTTACCTATTTTGCTGATAAACGCATTAAAGTGACATTCAAACGTTCGTCACACGAAAACGATCATTCTAAATAATAAACCATATAATAAAAGTTACAGAGCAACCTAATCAAATTAGCATTCTATATCAAGTTAGCATCTAAATCAAATTAGCATTCTATATCAAGTAATACATACCGAGAAAACAAAAATTTTAGCGTTCCGTCGTCCAACAATTCAGCGTAGAATGAGTATCAATTCGTTCCATTTGGTTCAGTAGTTTAGCTATAATTGATGCTCAAAAATAGTTATTTTTACCAGTTTTTCCACTTCAAAAGAGCATTTCTTATCCAACGACCGTAATAAGAAACGTCTAATTAGCACGCTCCATAAAAAGCTGGATGATGAAGGATTTATTGTAAAAGTAGTAAAGTAAGGTAATGAGTATCAGATATTTTTTATTATATTGATGGGTAAAGTAAGTATTTGGTACAATTCTTAACACCACTTTCGTTGACATATAACCACTATAATAATTGTTAAAATTGTGCAATGCTATTTACCATCACAGTCCATCTTGAATAAATGAAGTCATTAGTTTTAAGTAATATACAACTGTGTTTTCTTTCTCTGTACATGCCTGGCGCCCAATATCTATATTTTTTTATTGTTATTTAGTTTTCTCTCTAGTGAAATACCTTATCCATGACTGCTCTCCGATGAAAAGCTGACGTTCGCAATGGTAATGTTTATAAAAAAAACGCTACAGTATTTTTATATTTATTTAGTCACATTGTTCCATACTTCAAATAAATATATGTGAATAATTTTTTTTTGGTTTTATTTATGATAAGAAAAAATACAAAATACATTTGAACTGAAAAAGGGCCCGCCATTGAATAACCGGAACCGGAAGTGAAAAATTAAGCCACCATGTCAACCTGTCAATTGGAAAATTAGTTCTCCAGACGACCACGAAGGCTTTCGGTGGCGTATCGTGTTTCCACGATTTAACACAGAGTTGACACTTCTTTCTAGTTAATTATTTTATGAGTATATTCAGTAAGTTATGAGAAATAATGGCCTGTCTAATTATTAATGACTAGTGGCGCATTTAGAGATTAGGTCTGGGAGAGGTAGTGGTCAGATTTAAGTAAATTACTAGATTTAAATTAAATTTATGCTGAAAAGTATAGTAATCATGAATAAAGTTGGATTAATCTGAATTTTCTATTTTGATTGGTATTATTAATTTCTTTTTTGATAATTATGTATATATTTATGTCAGATTTTATCTTATTTACATATACTCTGGGAGGGGTAATTACCCATATTACCCCTCCCGTATTATGCGCGCTTGTGAATGACTGAACCTCAGACTGAAGGTAGGTACCTACTTAAGATGAAAAAATATATGCAACACCATTGGTTGTATGTTAAAATTTTTTTTCTTGATTTAAGAATACATTATTAAAAAAAATTGAGTTAACACAAAAAAAAACATGAAAATATAAAATACTAAGCAGGTTTTTCTATATTGTTTCCTTAGTAGTCGTTTTTTAGAATTAAAATATGCTTACCATGTGGTTTTTTTAATAGCTGCACAATTATATTTTTTAATAACGCATTTTACTGCTTTTTTAATTTAAATGCATACCCATGAATTACAACTATTGACGTTATTTTTTCAAAAAAACTCGATGTAATTAAAGTAGAAAATGTGTAGAAAAAAATCTATCAAATTTATCCCTGAAGACATTGTATAAAAATAAAAAAAAATCAAGGCAATTTAACTAAATCTACATAGTAATTGTTTTTGTAATGAGACTGGGGTGGATTATCCATTATACGGCGACAAGAATATTAAATTTGTGTGTAAGTAGTTTAAAAAATACTACCTTAAAAAATACTACCTTATCAAAAAATTCCTGTCACCAATGAATGAGATTTACAAAGCTTGAACTCTCTTAATTTTGATTAGAAGTATGAATTAAATCACACCTAACCTACTGTTTAAATAATTCCAAGTTTTCCAAAGAGTGTATTAGACTCTAAAACCAAGATTTACCAAATTGTTATTTGGTAAAATTTCAAAATGATAATCAACTCCACGTTGTTTATAGCCGTCAGGTGCTCCTCCCACCCCCTCTATAGACTACTGAATAGGCTCTACAACTAATTAAATACCTATGTATGATTTAATAATTAGAGTAATTTGTTTTCCATTCACCGTACCTATTTTTATCACCAACTGATAACAGAGTCCTTAATCCTGACTACGTCACACATATTTCGTCGGTAAATACAACACAATTCAATAAAGGAGAAAATTTAATTTTTTTGAGACTTACCAATTGTAGAACCGTATTTACTACCTCCTTGTTTGAGACTTGGCCGACTTCGATGAGGCCAATTAACACTGCGAATTTGAGGCTATCGTTCACAGCCATTCTCACCACCTCTTCGGGGTGCTTAATGTCACTGAGGGGGGGTTTCGTCAAGTCCGCCATTATGGGAAGATCGGCTAAACACACAAATCGTTCACTAAAAAACAACAACGAACCACTACATCTACACAAAACACCGACAATTTTCCAGTAAACGTATACAGCGCGATACGCTCCCTGCCATGTTGGGATGGAAAATGACAGCAGGGCCGGCGTGAACCCTGATTTCCGTATAGGGTTTTTTCATTCCTGCGTCCTGAAGGGATGCACTGTTTACGTTTCGATTGACACATAACAGCTGATCCGGAAGATGCCGGATTGAGAAAGAAATCTAAGCATACATTATTTTAAGGTTTAATAAAAAAGTATTTAGGTAATTCTTAATTACTGTGCTGACTACATTTAATTTAGTTTTGATTTTACATTGCTAGAAAGCAAGACCTTGTATTGAATGAGCCTTGAGTGTTACCATCATTTTCGAAAACAGAATAGGATTTATTGATTTTTCGTAAATTTGGCAACCTGCGAATAGTCTGTCATAATTTTGAGGTTAAAAAGTCATTTTTTTAAGAAATATTTTAGTTTTATCTTTGGTTTATATTTGTTTATTATTGTTTGTTATGGACAAATCAACTCCAAAAAGGTTTGTTTATCACTAAATAACTGTCTAATGTAATATAAACATGCTCAAGTATTAATTTTTCAGAAATGTTAATAAGAAACGTCCAGATTATTTGGAATGGACTGAATATTTTATGGCAACTGCGTTTTTAGCCGCAAAACGAAGCAAAGATCCCTGTTCCCAAGTTGGGGCTTGTATAGTTAACGAGAATAACATTATTGTGGGAATTGGCTATAATGGGATGCCCAAAGGATGTCACGATGATGTATTTCCATGGATGAAAGAGTCGGAAAATAGCCTAGAAAATAAATACTTATACGGTAAAATATGAAACTCTTAAAACAATATGTGAGAATATGTGTAAATATGAAAGAAAACTAGGCACAGACACAATTCAGAGCTTTTATTTAGTTAGTACTAAACAGTTAACAATAGTTACAAGATATTGTATGAAAACTAGCATGCTAACATAATGCACTAACCTTTCTGTCGACTCTCATAATCCCTAGAGTACTGATGGACTAACATTAATGTTGTATATATATATAATTTAATTGATGAAATATGTTATAATTTTAGTGTGTCATGCTGAAATAAATGCAATTTTAAATAAGAACTCAGTCGATGTTAGGAATTGTACGTTATATGTGGGACTATTTCCATGCAATGAATGTGCCAAAGTTATTATACAATCGGGAGTCAAGGAAGTGATCTATATGTCCGATAAGCATTCGTTTAAAGTTCATACGATTGCATCGAAAAGAATGTTTGATGCTGCTGGTGTTAAATACAGGTAAATTTATTATAAGTTGCGTTATTTACAATCCTGGCGAATGCGCCAGGATTGTAAATAACTGGCGAATGCGCGGGGAAAATTATATATGAATATTTTAATTTTGTTTCAATTTTTAGGCAATTTATACCAAAAAATCGCCAAATTCTGATTGATTTTGATGAAATCAACTGGAATGATCAAAGTCAACTGCCTGGTAGTCCAAATTTAGGTGATTCAATAACAAAGAAAATTAAATCAATGTCCATATTATCTGAAGAGCAACAAGATCTTAACTCTAGCTTTACCTGTGATAATGAAACTAGATTAGAATGTAAAGACAAAAATTAAACGTAATTTTATTTTGCAACTTAGACTAAGATATATTTTTTGTTATTGTTTACCATGTGTATGTAGTATATTTCTTTGTAATAGTGTGGTTTTTCTATGATCTGAAAATCTATAGATACAGAGGTAACAAAAGACTATGATATTTGTGTAGATAAAAAATAAAATGTAACACAATAATTAATGGAATATATTTTTATTAAATAAGAAGAAATAAAATTTTTACTTCACCAATTATTTCATTAACAATCTATAAATGTTTTCATTTTTAAACAAAATATAGAGGATATCCTTACTATACATATAGGTATATTATACTTATTTTTTTATTAAAATAATTATTTTATCAATAATAAATAGACTGTTTTATACCTGCTAACGTCTCAAAAGTGGCTCACCCCTATTACTTTTTTATTTTTCAGATAATAAAACGAGATTTGGTATCTTAGTATAGACTTAAATTAGGATTGATTGACGTATTGTTTTCCGTCATTTCCTGTTTCACCGGAAATGACTACAACTTTTGATTTTTAAATCACACTCTCAGTATTTTGTTTTTCTATATTTGATAGAAAATGACACTCTCAATAGAATGACATATCACATGTTAACTTAAATTTTGACATTTTTGCATAATATGGTTTATTTGAAATTATAGTATGAAGTTCATAACGACAATTTGACTCGAAATACCAAGTGTGTGGTTACTCATAAAGAATGTTTTTTTCCAAATATGCTAATGAGCCACCTTCGTTCCATTTGAAAAAATTGAGATATGATAAAAAAAATACGATTTGACCATCTTTTAACCGACCAGGACAAGCCACTAAAAACATTAGACGATAAAATATATTTTTCCAAGGCTCCTTATGATTAAAAATTAGTGATTTTAAACAGCCGTAGCACTCTAGATTGAAATTTAAAATACGATGTTTTTTTTAAGCGAATATGTCAAAAGTTGACATATGATATGTCCTATTCATTTTGTCATTTGGTATTTTAGTCATTTTCTATCGAATAAAGTAAAAATATGCCAAGGGGATTTAAAAATCAAAAGTTGTAGTCATTTCCGGTGAAACAGGAATAGGTGACAGAAAACAATTGAATACGTCAATCAATCCTAATTTACGTCATATACTAACATACCAAATCTCCTTTTTTATCTGTAAAAATAAAAAAGTTATAGAGATGAGCCACTTTTGAGACGCACCCGGTATATAAATTTTAGTATTCTCTTTGAGAAAAATGCATCATGAAAAAGATTTGCTTTTTCTAATATGATTACTTCCGTTTATATTTTTCGAAAGATAATTTCTTCGAGAAAAAAATTCTTTTAAGAATTTTCTAGGATTATTTTTATTTTATTTACTTGTTTAACAAAATATTCACTGATGGCCCTCGTCATACTGCGTTTGTATTTAGCTATATGTATAGTTTAAGTTTTAAAGAAGATACCGTATGATCGATACTTAATCGATATGATCTCAGAACAACGTTTTATCGTTAGCTACACTGATTGACACTTCAATGAACCAATGAGAGCTGTTTAAATTTAAAATTGACAGCTGTTTGAATGAATTTTCTACAAATCTCGTTGGTTCCTTTGACATGTCTGGCAACAGTATGAATTTCTGATAATCTGAGGAATTAAACGTAGCATTTAAAAGCAGCATTATATAGGCCTAGGCTACAAAATTATCCAAAATATAAATAAATATAAATTATACATACCTAAATGAATGTAATAAGCGTAAACAATTAGTAATAAATTAAATTTGGTAACCGTCCAACAAAATATTTGCGAAAAAAATAAAATTCCAATATTTATTTAATTCTGTACCCAAGCAGCATTTGGACGTCGGGACAACGTTGTGTCACGCGACCAAACGTCGGGGCGCAACGTCGGCACAACCTCGTGCCAACCCTAGTCTGCACTAGTTTGGAGAATAATTTTTGGGTCGAAACGACGTTGGATACCGACGTTGGCTAGAAGCCTAATTTAGTACAAACTGCAACGTTGTTTAAAATCCTAATTCACAGAAATACAGTAACTAATATGGCGTCTAAGTCGCGTTTAATCCTAAATTGGGATAATTATAGTAAAAAAATATTATTACTTTTATGATTTAGTTAGAGACATATGTCAGATGGCAGTGAAGGAAAACAAAACAAAAAGTATTTAAGTGTGGAGATGTTTGAAGCAGGGGTGACAGTAAACCCGGAAAATTGGAAACAGTTCTGGCGCCGGTCTTACCTAGGCAGAAAGCATGGCCTTCTAGACTGTCCTAGACAAAAATCTGTTGAATATTTCTATATGATTTCTGGGTCAATTTCAGTTACGGAACATTTTATGCACGTCGGCGTCCTCTTCTTTTGTCTGTGTGTCAGCCATGTGTCAACTCCCGAGGGCCTCTGGCAAGTCTTCATTTTAATTTTTGCCGTTTTAGATTTGATTGGAAGTTTGTTTATGATATTTCGGCTGAAATTTATAAGTACAAAGATGATATAAAGTCTCCTTGTTAACACTTTAATAAAGTATATATGGTATTAATTACATGAAGAAAATGATGAAATCGACGTTTTCTGCGTGTAGTAGGTATGGGCCATATTATATGTGAAAAAATAGGTAATATATTAACTGTTTTTATATTTTTTAGCTTTAGATCCAAGGATCTTGGGATATTCTTTACCAAGGATTTTTCCCGAATCTCTACTTTTAAAGACTGATCGATGATTTTGAATTTTGAGCAATTGAAAGCAAGTTGCACAAGGTAAATTATGATTATTGAACTATTATTAGCTTACATTAATTATCTACAAGATGAACAGAAATGCGTAATTACATATCACATAGGTACCTATTATGTATTTTCATAGCAATAATGCTATGTATGTAGATTATTTTAAAATACAAATGAGGTATTAGATGTATATGTATCATACTTTTATTCATTTTATTTTCATTCAAGTCCTGTTTGATTTAATTCACAACAGTCTTATGCATATATTTATGTTTTTACATATTTTTTTGATTCCAGGTTTTGCGTGGGTTCCTGTTGTCTTTTTCTTTGCTTCCAGTTAGTTTTACGCCCGTGAAGCTGTGGAAAACATTTATTTATCTTCAAGTTTCTGTAAGTCAGTGCATTGTTACTTTACTATTTCACTTTAATACAGCATCTCTGATGTTATTTAAATATTTTGATATTGATACAGTAGTTTATGGGTTTATAGCTCTTTAATTGTGTTGATTTGTATATTTACATTGTTCTAAATTCCAAATAAATATTTTTGAGTAATTTTGTTGTATTATTTACTACTAGAAAAAGTAAAAAGTATATTAACCCTCATTTAAACCTCCCTGACAACCATTAAAACCTGGAAACGGAAATAAATTTCATAAAATTGAAATTGTCATGTCAGTGAAGTGTCTATGTTGGCATGTCAAATGTCCCAGCTGCCATATCTGAAAATTAGTTACCCAGGCAGCCACGCTGTTTCCATAATTTAACATTGACTAAACAAAACAAAAGTATTTAAGTGTGGAGATGTTTGAAGATCATAATTATTGAAACACTTTAACCGACTCTGTAACTCGTTACCCAAGGCAAAAAGTTAAACGCAAACAACTTATTGATAAATGTATTGTTTCTACTTTGAAAAATACTAATGGGCCTTAAAATTAAAGAAGTTTTAAAAATTTTCTTGAATTTTTTTTTTTTAGTAAAATGAGAATAATTTATTCGCAGTCGAAAAAATTGTTTCCGCGTGATTTTTAGGGTCAAATATTTCAAGTTAATGTATTCAAAAAGCAAGAATTGCTATTTTAGGAACGAAACATTTTCTTATTTAACAACATGGCGGCTTTCACTTTGTTGTTTTGGGAGATTAAGATGGAGTAGTTCGAGTAGTCGCATACTGGACTAATAAAGTCGCAGTTCAGCCTTAACAGGTAGTATACTAGTCGCAAGATTGCCTAATTTAGTCATCCTAGAGTCTAGCTTGTGCCGCCCTCTATAATCTAAATAAACGAGGGAGTGGATAAACTATCGGTAATATATGCCGATGTATATTTAAATTTAGTTTTATATGTACCTTTCTTATGTCCCATTTTAAATAAGTTTTTTTTATAAAAACAAAAACAGCACTGAACTGTCTGACTGAACAGAACAATGAAGTGAAAATTTAAGATTTAAGGTTATGGTTCAATACAGTTGCAAAAAGGTAGTGCCTCGACGTCCTACCAACGTAAGAATAAGGAAATCTAAACAACGTTGGAATAAGTAAAACAGACGACGTTTGCATAACGTTGGAATAGGTCCTGAAACTGACGTCGGAAAACTCTATATTATCCAACGTTGTAACTACGTTGTCCGAATCACCTAAAGATCACTTAAGCAAAAAAGGTTAGAAGACAACGTTTATTCGACGTCGCAGAAGCTTCCTACTTTGCTGTAGTACTAGTCCAACGTCAGCACAACGTTATAAAAACGTTTAAATTTATTTTAATACCTAAGGTAGGGAGCTAACTATTTTTTGTAACTAATCCAACGTTGTGTTTAGTAAACATGTGGTCGCAAGTCGTGAAAATGCTACTTGGGATGCGTCGTCCGTCGTTGATTTTATTCAATTTTATTGGTTTATGCATAGATAAATGGGTTTATGTCAAAAATTACGTCTCACTACCTTTCTCACTACGGATGCATACTGGGTGTTTCAAAAACATGTGCCATTCTCGTAGGGGGATTCCTCTCATAAAATATGATTTATTTTTCATATTAACAAACTACAATCTTAAACGATTCTGCTTTGTTTCGTAGCTACATGGGGTTCAAGTCTTCATCTTTTTTCGACTTTTTATATGTCGACATAAATATTCATCAGAGACGTGCCTATACTAGAATATTACGTACTGGAATATTTTTACAGAAAAAAAAATGTGCTCCACTGACTTTTTTTTTTCAATTGGCAAAATTGTGTAAACCATTAAATGCCGATTAAAAGTTGTCTATTGATATTTTGTGGATTTCGGTCTCCTTGATGAAATAAACGCAATTTAGTTAATTTGGCTTAATGCCCTAATATTTAATATTCTATTAACAACCTTTAAAAATGCTAATGCCATTAACTGGTTTAATGACAACTACCAGGAAGTAACTGGAGTTAAAAAAAAATATGAAAAAAGATCCTATAAACATGGGTGCGGAAATGCATAGGTAGTTTTAATGTTACAGGATGTTAAAACTTTAAAAAAATAGGCCTTTTGCAATAATTGTCTTAAATACGGTTATTTTTTGGGGGGGAGGGGTAATTTGCTGTAAGTAACACTGTACATCAGTGTTATAGATCTTAATAAAATTTAATTGGCATTAAATAATCTATACCCTTTTGCTAATAGGAGGAAAAAAGTGGCGCACATGCTTTTTAGAAAAAAATATTCCAGTAATAACCCATATATGCACGTCCCCGATGAATCTGTCGACATAACTTTTTTTAGCATTAAAATATGTAGCACTAATAGCACAGATTATACAGATTATTATAATCTTTGCTTTTTCTTTATTGTTTTTCGTAGTTCCAATTTTCGGAATCGGGCACTAGTTAGGTGACTAGTTTGCGCACATAGCACGCCCACTTATGGCCTCTAAAATTGTGCACAGCGCCTGACCGGCACAGTTATTAGAGAGATATCGGAAAACCGAATAGCGTCATCCAGTATTTACGCGTACCTTATCATGGTTACGATATGCGCGAGTCAACGCAACACCCGCTAATAACGTTACCGTCTGACGTAATTTGCGGATCAATTACACCAAGCGCTCTTTCTAAATAACCTCTGATAACGTTTAAAAATTGCTTAGATGGGCATGTGCGGGTATTTGACAACCGGAGCCGGCCGGCGAGATCTTTTATTTTAGGTTATGTTTGAATGGTTTTAAATTATTGCTTTAGTTTTATTAGGTAATTTGATATTTAAGTAGCTGGGATTAGTTTTAATTAAATAAATATGGCCCAAAATATGGATTCCACCTCTTCCAATACTAAAGAACCTATAAAGAGTCTTAGGTTTACAGCAGATGACGCCTTAGCCCTTCTAAGAGAATTTGTTGCTTGTTATCCTAAACCCATTGGCAGATGTTGAACAATAAAGCACTGGAAATAAGCACTTTAGCCCTTTAGTTTTAAAATACCGAGTAAACAAAACAATTTCAAAGTTTTAAATTCAAAGTTAAGTTAAGTTTAAATAGCGGACGCGACGCGATCAGAATTCTCTCCGATCCGATAACTATAAATGAAGAGAGTTCCTTACCTCACGCAAAGGAAATATCACCTGGCCTTAGTCCATGCACGCTATTCGGTTTAGTGATATCTCTCTATTACGCTGTTTATTGTTATTTTACGTGAGTTTATTTTTGCGCACTGGAAATTTGACTCGTCATAAAAAACATTTTTCGTACCACGAATTAGGGACAAGATTTTTATCTGTATACTTATAGGATACCTAATCTGTGCTAATATTAACTTTGACCCTATAAATTTCATTCGAAACGTTAGAAGCACTTGGAAGAAAATCATAATAAAATCGAAAAAATATGAAGATTTCCTGTAAGTACAACAAAGCAGAATAATAATTGGACCCATGTTGTTATGAGAAATAAACCCTATTTTTACATGAGGAATACACCCACGAGAGATGGCACATATTTTTTTTAAACACCCTGTATAAACTCACTTTAAAGGCCAAAAAATAGAAAATTTCATTTTTTATAGATTTGAATTAAATGCAGTCTTAACATCAAAACACTTATTGATCTTATTAACTATATGTACTTATAAATTACATCACATATTAATTATTATACAAAACAAATAACAATAAATAATAACAAAAATGTCCACTTTTCCTAATTGTTATGTATCATTCGGCCGCAACTATCAGAAATTTGTTACTGCTTTCTTCAGGTAAATGGAAATCTTCGTAATGACGCAGCGAGAAGGGTTCTCCTATAGTCTCTCGCGAAATCTTCCGTTTCTTTATTCGTTTTCTCTTCACCACTGGAATGGTCGTTCCATCCTCTAAGCTGACTATAGCTATTTCGATCGCTTGACTAGATTCATTGTCTGGCTGGTTGTCAGACCTTTGAACCTCGCCATCTCCATTGTTGTTCTCTTCCAGGTGCCTGTTTATGTCTTCTAAACTGATGGCTGGGGGATCTGTTTGTTTTCGTGCGTTTTCTGATTCATTCGTCTCGCTGTCAGCTTTACTGTTCACAGCTTCTTGTTCCACATGATCAGAATGAGAGTGATCAGCAACGGGTTCGCTAGAAGGTTCGGTATTCTGCTTTTGTCCTGCCACTTGGTACGTGACGTGACTATGGCTTCCATGATTATTACCTCCTAAAACATTACAAATATGTCAATTTAACGACTAATACCAGAAGATCTAACATAACCATTTGTGCTTTATAATATTTTTTCTTTTCATAAGTAATTTTTTTTAAATACCATACAATCGAAAAAAAGGCGTTAAAGTTGTTTTTTAACTGCTTTGTCGCTGAATGATGTACAGGGTGGGTCAAATTCGACGCTTTTAAATGGAAACACCCTATTCTATAGGAGATAGACGAAAACTAATATCGGTGTCTGGAGCTCAATTATCATCAAAAACATGATGGTGAAAACCGCACATCAATATCTGTTACCGTTTCGGAGTTACGGGGTGTTTTTCAAAAATGTGCATTTTTAATAAATCGCTGTAACTTTTTTGCTATGGAAAATTTTGTATTTCTATGAAAACATTTCCAAAGCATCTTTTTACGTAGAATTTAATGGTTTAAGTATAATTTTTTTAAAATTAATAATTTAAGAGTTATCAACAGAAAAATTGATTTTTTATTTAGGACACCCTCTATATTTTTAATTATTTGAAAAGAATTTAAAATTGCCTTTCCAAAAATATAGCACACTTGATATTTTGTTATAATCCCCTTCGAAATACAGAATTTTTAAAAGTACGCCACTTTTAACTAGTGGGCTTTGGACCCCTTATTGATGATATGCCCTTAATGGAACTCGAAAACATATTTTTCAATCAAGACGACGCACCGCCTCTGAACGCTGAAGTTATCAGCAAATTTTTGCAGCCAATTTCAAGAATAATTGAATAGCTAACCAAGATTCCAGCCGTTGGCCGTCGAGGCCGCCTGACTTAGTGCCCATGGATCTAATCCTATGTATATATTTGCGGAAGAATAAAAGTTCCTTATTCTTCCGTATAATCTCGACAAGAATTAGAAATACTTAGTTTACTTACATCTAATCCTTTAACTTTACTTACATCTAATCCTATGGATATATTTGCGGAAGAATAAAGGTTCCTTATTCTTCCGTATAATCTAGACAAGAATTAGAAATACTTAGCACTTAGCAGTTATGAGAGGGTATCTTTCACCCCCACTGAGTTAATGAATTCCGCGAGAAATGTTCAAAAACTGCCCCGTCTGTCTATAACAGAAGACGGTCGATATGTCGAACACCTGTAGCAAAATCTCATGTCTTAGTTTGCTATTTATTTTTATTGTTATTAGATATAGTTTAAATGTGTTGATGTTGGTTAAATACATTTTAAATTGTTATAAAATTCTGCATCTCTCATAGCAAATATTATTTTCGTTGTAATTGATGCTCACAGCTAGATTTTTTTTGCATTACAGCCGATGCCGTTCAAAGCCTACTTATTTAAAGCGGGCGCATTTTTTTATACTCTATATCTCGAATAGGAATCGAGCAAAATATAAAGTGTGTTATATTTTTGGAAAGGTAATTTTAAATTCTTTTCAATAAATTAAAAATATACAGCGTATCCCATATAAAAAATCAAATTTTCTGTTGATAATTCTTAAATTATTAATTTTAACGTAAAATTTTCTACGTAAAAAGGTGCTTTGGAAATGTTTTCATAAAAATACAAAATTTTTCATAGCAAAAAAGTTACAGCGATTTGTTAAAAATGCATATTTTTGAAAAACACCCCGTAACTCCGAAACGGTAACAGATAGCGATATGCGGTTTTCACCATCATATTTTTGACAAAAATTGAGCTCCAGACACCGATATTATTTTTCGTCTATCTCCTATAGAAAAGGGCGTTTCCATTTAAAAGCGTCGAATTTGATCCACCCTGTACAAAGACTTACTTTGCTCTAAATATGGTAATCGTAAATCACACAAGATATTTTTTCTTCGTTTTTTTTAATGGAACACCCTGTATATTATTTTTTCGATAAATGGAGAATTAAAAAATGAACAATTTTTGTATTTACAGTATTCCAAAATGTATAACGGTTTCTCAGATATTCGCGGTTTTTTATTTTGTATGTCATTTTTCACAGTAAATTTTTATCAAAGCCGCCCAAATATTTTTCGCTCGTATTTTACGGTTGAAAGAGCTATACAATGAATACCATGAAGCCATCCCAAGTAGCATTTTCACGACTTGCGACCACATGTTTACTAATCACAACGTTGGATTAGTTACATAAAATAGTTAGCTCCCTACCTTGGGTATTAAAATAAATTTAAACGTTTTTATAACGTTGTGCCGACGTTGGACTAGTACTACAGCAAAGTAGCTAGCGAAACGACGTTGGATACCGACGTTGGCTAGCAGCCTAATTTAGTACAAACTGCAACGTTGTTTAAAATCCTAATTCACAGAAATACAAAACTATAATAATATGGCGTCTAAGTCGCGTTTTATCCTAAATTGGGATAATTATAGTAAAAATATTATTTTTATGATTTAGTTAGAGACATATGCCAGATGGCAGTAAAGGAAAACAAAACAAAAGTATTTAAGTGTGGAGGATGTTTGAAGATCATAATTATTGAAACACTTTAACCGACTCTGTAACTCGTTACCCAAGGCAAAAAAGTTAAACGCAAACAACTTTATTGATAAATGTATTGTTCCTACTTTGAAAAATACTAATGGGCCTTAAAATTAAAGAAGTTTTAAAAAATTTCGTGAATTTTTTTTAGTAAAATGAGAATAATTTATTCGCAGTCGAAAAAATTGTTTCCGCGTGTTGTTTAGGGTCAAATATTTCAAGTTAATGTATTCAAAAAGCAGGAATTGCTATTTTAGGAACGAAACATTTTCTTATTCAACAACATGGCGGCTTTCACTTTGTTGTTTTGGAGATTAAGATGGAGTAGTTCGAGTAGTCGCATACTGGACTAATAAAGTCGCAGTTCAGCCTTAACAGGTAGTATACTAGTCGCAAGATTGCCTAATTTAGTCATCCTAGAGTCTAGCTTGTGCCGCCCTCTATATTCTAAATAAACGAGGGAGCGGATAAAGTATCGGTAATATGTCGATGTATATTTAAATTTAGTTTTATATGTACCTTTCTTATGTCCCATTTTAATTAAGTTTTTTTTTATAAAACAAAAACAGCACTGACTGTCTGACTGAACAGAACAATGAAGTGAAAATTTAAGATTTAAGGTTATGGTTCAATACAGCTGCAAAAGGTAGTGGCTCGACGTCCTACCAACGTAAGAATAAGGAAATCTAAACAACGTTGGAATTAGTAAAACAGACGACGTTTGCATAACGTTGGAACAGGTCCTGAAAGTGACGTCGGAAAACTCTTTATTGCCCAACATTGTAACTACGTTGTCCGAATCACCTAAAGACCACTTAAGCAAAAAAGGTTACAAGATAACGTTTATTCGACGTCGCAGTAGCGTTTACTTTGTTATAGTACTAGGTCAACGTCGGCACAATGTTACAACAACATTTACATTTATTTTAATACCCAAGGTACGGAGCTAACTAATCTAACGTTGTGTTTAGTAAACATGTGGTTGCAAGTCGTGAAAATGCTACTTGGGCATATCCCTATCTAACTTAGATTAAAAAAGCATAGAATGTTTCCATCCTCCTTCGTTATTTAATGTTTATTCTGAGATGATTTCTCGGGAAGCTTTCTCTACAACGGATTGCGGTATTAAAGTCAACGGCCAAGTCATTAACAACATTAGATTTGTCGATGAAACCCTCTTATTGCCGACTCTGATGTTTAGGACTCCAGAGTTTGGTGGAGCGAGAGAAATATAAAGTGTATTGAGTATTTGAAGGCCTATTTTCTTGGACTATTGTGGCGGTAAAAGTGAATTAATGAATAAAATGTGGGGTACCACCTGGTGCGAGTGTGTAGCAATGGTGCGAATGGCTGCAATGCGAACCAATGTGTCGAACCAATCTTAAAGTCATATTTACCATGGCCACCCCCTCCATGACCCTCTCCGTCGCCTGAACTTTCCTTATAACCCCAATGGGTGCCCTTTCCCACGCTTTCCTTTTTACCATATTTCGTTTTGTGCTCATCGTGATCATCACGGCCCGCCTTCTTGTTATGCCCTTGGTCATCTTTGTAGAAACCTGCCTTCTCTGATTTCGATTCCTTTCCGTAGTGCGTCTCGTGATTGCCACCTTTTTTATGGCCACCTTTATGATGTCCATCCTGAAAAATCAATACATATAATGAAGGAATAGAGGTAGAGAAGTCTGTACAGAGTGTTCCATTTTAGTGTGATTTTTGTGGTTTTTCGTTTATTACTTGGGTACTTTTATATGAAACACATATATTTGTCATAGGCTTCTTAATTCGTGAAATAGAGGACAAATTTTAAGATTTTCGACTTCCCTTGTATCTTGATTATCTTATAACTTATCGAAACGGTAGAAACTGTGCAGCGGCGGAGCTTCCATTGATGTGGGTGATGCGTCGCATCCCTTCAAAATATTGTAATACGTTTTTATTTAAAAAAGTAATTGAGATCTTCTATAATAAATTAAAATTCAGTAAATTTATTCAAATAATTAAATTCAATTTCAATTATTTAATGTGCGTATTGGTCGAGCTTTATAGATAAGACTAAGGCTAAGAACATAGTGGAGCGATGAGGATAGCAGCGAGCAAGCAACGCAATACCGCGTCGAGGTGCTGAAACATAGTAGAGCGACGAGGAATAGCGAGATACTTGTGCAATTTTGTTATTTTCATTTGCTTAATGATAATTTAAAATGTTAACAGTGGCTAAAATTCTGGACCGTAGTGTCGAAAACATTTGGTTTATTCGAAACCAACAAACTAAAAGGTGTAGTGTACATGAAATTTGTACATTACAACATGAAATTTTCAAAACCCGGAGAGAGTGTGGCAAGTTTCATAACCTTTACGAAAATTTGTTGCCACTTCATCTCATAACTTATATAAAATGTACCGGTTATGGCGATTACTATCTTTTTGGTCCCATAAGGTGCCTCTTACACGCACTAAATCTATTAATTTTTGGGAATACATGGTTTTCTACAGCGCGACAGAGCAACGAAAACAAAATTATTTGAATCGTAATTGAATCGTAATTTGAATCGTTATTTGATCAATACAATAGAATAATTTATTCAATGTTAAATTTTGCTAACTGGCTTTTCCACGCTAGTTTCTGTATAAATGTATATATTCCGCAGAAATGTATAAAAAATATCAATAATTTTGATAGACAGCATATAATCTAAAAGCAGCACAAGTTCATTTTTTCAGTGCACATTATTAAGATAACATGATGGAAAGCAAAATTAGCTGGTTAAATTAAGTAATATTCTTTTAAACTTGGTTGATTTACGTTAAAAAGTTGAATAACAACTTCCGACAAGCACCGACTTCCACCAAATTACACCACTGGAGTTTGCATGAAAAAATCTACGAGACACAAATTCACAGATTTTAACTTTTCGATAAGTTATAAGATAACCAAGATACGAAGAGAGTCGAAAGATGCAAAAAATTAAAATACAATGTTACAGGAACTAAGAAGTTTACAACAAATCTGTGTGTAGCAAATTTAGTTTCATAAAAAAGTAGCATAATGATGTGAAAAGCTGATTTTTGTATTTCTACTCATATAAACGAGAAAAGAGAAACCCCATAAAACACACGAAAATGAAACATCCTGTACATGTAACAGAAGTTGAAATTATTAAAATGTAGTCTACTATTGAAGATCTGCAAATGAAAAAGAGAAATGTTTTGGTTTACTTGTTAGAATATTACTTTAAAGCTAATAAACAGTTAAACCAAACGCATTTTAATGCGGCTTGCATTAAAATGCGTTTTGAATCGCATCATAGGGATCGAAAAGAGATGGCAAAATCTATACAGGGTCAGTCTTGAATAAGTGCAAATATTTTTAGAGGTGGTCGATATTTATATTTTGACTCTAAAAAATTTTAAATTTTTTGAATTTTTTGCAATTTTTTTTAGTTTTTAGTTAAAAAACATCATTTTTTGATAACTATAGTAACATAGGTAGTAGATTAAATCTACAGGTACAGGAAAGAAAAAACACAGAAAAGATCCAGTGGTTCTCAAAATATAACCAGGAACTTATTTTTGTTAAATTTTAAAAGTGAAATATCTGGGTTATTTTGGCCTTATTTGAAACGGCCAAAAGAAAGTATGTTTTTTTATAGAGATCTACCAGTCCTGACAATATTTGCACTTGATTAAGACTCAACCTATGAAAAAAATGATTATATCTTTAAACTACTCTACTATACTACTAACGGTCTTACCTTTTTATATCCTCCTTCTTCGCTAAATCCTCCATGTTTCTCGGTCTCCCCGCCCTCGTGATCTTCATCGAAAAATTCAGTTTTTTTCTCGTACTCCTCCTTCTTATGTATACTGTGAGAACCTTTGGTGCTGTGCCCTTTATTATGTTCACCTTCTTCGTCATACTGAAAAATAATTCGATATAAAAGTCATAGACAAGAATAAGTAGCATCTAGAAAGCAGGAGTGATTCTTGCTTTTTAGCATAATTTTTGATCAAGCATCACTTAATGCTGAATTATATCATATTAAAACGGATTTACTTCACAATTCTGACTCTAAGACGACCCTGCATTAAAGATGGGACCCAACCAAGAACGGTAAACTAATAGGATTGCTCATCCTCATAAGACGTACGTTCGCCTCTTCCCGCGCTTCAGCTGACAGTTGTGACGTCATTGTAGTCCTTGTCAAAGCCTTCGTGGCCTTGTTATGATAGTGTGTATTATTAGTTGCCTATGGTAAACTTATAAAAATAACAGCTGAGAAATTTTGAGTTAATTATTTTGTCAATTTTAAATGTTACAACGTCACAAATTACCTATAACAGATGCGAAAGAAAGCGACTGCATCGGAAACCGCTCGGCAAACCCCACACGCCTATTGAGTGGTGTAAATACACCAGTCGTTTAGTCCGGAAACCTATGCTGTGTCGTATTTGCTTGCTGGAATGACATAGTGCGTGGTTATATGTTTCTTTTTAAAAACGGGTGTAGGATTTTTGTTGAACTTTTGAACTGTTATTTCTAAGTTTTGGTAATTTATTATATCTTATTTAAAATGGGATACAAATGTGTTTATTTATAAGGAAAAAAAAGATATTTATAGTGTAAAAAATTAATTTATTTAACAAAATTTAATTAAAAATGTGACAAAATAGTACCTTTCTATTGGTTCTATCGGACTTTTCTCGACTATATAAATCTTTATTTGTAAACTTTAATACATCAAATATTTTCGATCTAATAAATCATTTAATGATGTAAATAAGAAGAAATTTCTCACATGGGTGGTCAAATTCTATAGTTTTCATTATATCATGAGCATTATATCACAGCCTCTGAGAAATGTTTTCAACTCAAAATGCCTTTAATTATGTTTGACTACATTAATTAAAAGGGTCTTCAAATACATCAATGCGATATTTGTCTAAAATTTGCAAAAGAATCCGAATCTCTGGATAACTCGAAATTATTTACCCATTTAAAAGCCTTTGATCATGAAAGTGGAAAAATTTGTTCATTTTATTTAATGGAAATGGAAAAATTATTTATATTAAATTTTGATGAGTTTTGCACTGAAGAAAACATTCAGAGGCTGTTTTTTGATATTAAATTTTGATGAGTTTTGCACTAAAGAAAACATTCAGAGGCTGTTTGATATAATGAAAACTATAGAATTTGACCACCCATGTGAGAAATTTCCTCTTATTTACATCATTAAATTATTTATTAGATTGAAAATATTTTATGCATTAAAGTTTACAAAAAAATAAAGATTTATATAGTCGAAAAAAGTCCGATAGAACCAATAGAAAAGTAACTATTTTGTCATATCTTTAATTAAATTTTGTTAAATAAATTAATTTTTTATACTATAAATATCTGTTTTTTCCTAATCTCCTACGAACTGATATAATATGACGAGCAATCTATTAAATTACTGTGAGATTATATGCCTCGATAACATATTGGTGCAGATTATTTTCACCCAAACAAATAATAACCCAAACTATACATTGATGCGGATTGTCTATGAACTCTTTCTGAAGGTCACAGAAACCTGAACGCGTAATTCGGTGTTCTTTCGCATCTGTTGTAGTTAATTTGTGACAACGTGGTACCACGAGGAATTAAAAGACCAAGAAGAAGACAAAAAATAAAATGGGACGATGATATTAGAAAACTAGCAGGGATATTTTAGACCCGCATATATAGGCAAATGGGCTACACCAGCATAATTGGAAATAGTTTAATAAGATAGAAATGCTCATGAATTACCTTTGATCCTTTTTTACCACCATGATGTTTGTGGTGTTCCGCATGGTATCCATCATCGTGGTGATGTTCTTTCTTGTGTCCGCCTTTTTCCGCATATTTTTTTGCGTGATTTTCTTTGTCGTGATGACCTTTCGCACCTTTTTCATGGCTGTGATGTCCTTCGTAATGCTTGTTGCCTTTTTCTCCGTGGTCGCCATGATGAAGAGCATGGAATTCTTTACCTCCACCTTTTTCAAATTCTCCTCCATGATCGCCTTAGACAAAGTCAAACTTTTGTTTATTATTAATCAATATTTTTAGACCTATATACCGGGTGCGTCTCAAAAGTGGCTCATACCCTATATATTTTTTTATTTTTTCAGATAAAACAACGAGATTTGGTTTGTTAGTATATGACATAAATTAGGATTGATTGACGTATTCAATTATTTTTTATCACTTCCAGTTTCACCGGAAATTGGACACTCTGAATAGAACAACATATCATATGTCAACTTTTGACATGTTCTTATATTTATGATTTATTTGAAACGTGAAAAAACTTAATTAAGGACAATAACAACAATTTGGCCCGAAATACCAAATGTGTGGTACCAAATTATTCATAAAAAAATTCCTATTTCCAAATACCGCGTGCGTCTCGAAAGTGGCTCATCTCTATAACTTTGGTATGTTAGTATATGACATAAATTTAGGATTGATTGACATATTCAATTGATTTTGGTCACTTCCACTTCCTTTGGTCACCGAAAATGTCACAAAATTTTGATTTTTAAATGGCTCCCTAGGTATATTTCTACTTTATTCGACAGAATATGACACTCCGAATAGAATGACATATCATATGTCAGAGCCCTACCTATGGTCCCATATAAACTGTCTTACTACTAAAGTAAATAGCTCTGACATATAACGTTTTCAATTGAATATTTGGAGTTTTCAATAATTGTCGCTTTTCTTGATATACTCCACTGATTTTTTCTTATTTTTCAAGAGCACTAATACACTCTTTATACGTTATTTTTTATTCCTAGAAGGATGATTTAAAGAAGAAATATTGTGTTCATATTATTGATAATCACTAAATAAACCCTTGTATAAAATTTTATACTTCTCGATGTTATAGTAATGCATTTTCGTACAGCAAACTTTCGTTCTCTATTCTGCTCCCTAAGGGTATGAATTTCATAAATTCGATTTGTCCAAATAATTAACTTATGTCTTTTAAATGATCCTTTGTGCAAATTTTTACGTGTATAATCCAGAGGTCACGAAGGTTTATATACGTTTTTACTAACTTTACCCATTTGGTTAATGAATTACATATTTCAAAAATCTCTTCTAATTCTTTCTGTAGAATTTCATTCTTCTAGACCCGATAGTAAGGAATTTTCATACAACAAATTGGTCGACATAATTTTACACTCTAAGTGGATGAATTTCCTAAAATCGATTTGCGTAGCTAATTCATTAATCACTAATGTCATTTAAACGAACCTTTGTACTAACATTTATGTATCTAAAGCTGGCGGAATGAACTGACCACTAAAATATCTAAAAACTTGATATATAATCTAACTGACACACCAATGGCAATGACTAATAATTTATTTCTGGAGGTACTGTGTGTAGGTGTTTTTCAGGTATGTTTTACTATTTAGTCGTTTTACACAAAGAAATAGCCATTAAACAATATAAAAATACTTCATAACAAATCTAGACATATATACCTTTCATTTGAAAAAAAACCCATCAAGATTGGTGAAGCGGTTTCGGCGGGATGGATGTAACAAAAAAACCCTTTGGGTTTTTTTATATATATATATATATATATATATATATATATATATATATATATATATATATATATATATATATATATATATATATATATATATATATATACATACATATATAATGTATGGATAATTTTTTTAGGCAAAAATGTCAAAAGTTGACATATAAGATGTCATTCTATTATGGTTCTATTCAGAATCTTTGAATAGGAAGACTAAGGAAGGAGCATAATGCTATCCATGTATTCATGCATGGTGGGCGGAAAAAGAAAAAAACTCTAGGGTGGGGATCCTTGACAGTTTTGTTTGACGATTCATTTGACACATTTGAATTTGATTTGAAATTTTATATGGTGCAGACATGGTGCAGACATATTTTTTTCTATTTCAAACCAATTCTCATACATCGAAGTAACCTACCTAAGCTCCAAAGGAGGTTAACGTTTTAATTATGAAAAAATATATTTTTGTGTCTGTCAATAATAAGTTTTATGTTATGCAGGTATTACCCATATTTGTTGTGTTATTACCTCCTGCATGTCCACCATGTCCATGACTGTGACTGCCTTCACTGTCACCACTTCCTCCTCCTTTACCTTCATGACCTTGACCATGACCTTCACCACCTCCATCATTACCTCCATTTTCATGGCTATGTCCAGAATCACCCTTCTTGTGCCCTCCCTCATGCCCCTGCTCGCTGCTATGACCATGTTCCTCTACACTGCTACTCTCCTGACTATGATCGTCGTTTCCTCCATGATGGTTTTTGATTGTTTCATGTGTTTTGTGCCCTGCTATATCTCCTCCATGCTGCTTTAATTCTGTGTGGGCTTTCTTCTGTCCTCTGAAAAGTTTGCTCTCCGCACTTAGGCCACCAGGTTCAACTATCTTCGAGGTAGCTATTTCCGCTGCTGCCTTTTCTTTAGCCTTTTGGGTGTCAACATATTTGTAATAATCTATGGCTGCTGGTTTTTGATCTTCGATCTGAGTAGATGCAGAACCAGTAGAGTCGTCAGTCTGAAATACGTAACACGATATATTTTGATCGAGAGAAGTTTTATAAACAAGCATGGCTTTTATGAAAACAGGAAAATATGATGGGTTAATTTAGATTCGATTTTTTGCCAGTGTATCATATAAAGAGAAAAAATTGGGGGACTTTTTATAGTTTGTTTAATCAATTATAAAGGGTGTTTTAAAAAAACAGGTGGCGTCTCTATACAGGGTTGTTCACCACATACGACACGGAGTATTGTAGCTAAACGATGAGATTTTTACAAATTGTAAGTTTGGGGTTCGTTGAAGGACTATTAGAGCTACAATTTAAAAATATTTTTACAAGATACAGAGTGTCCCAAATAAATAAAAAATATCAAAGTTGTATTTTTTTAAATGGAACACCCTGTATATTATTACATTTTTAGTTTCTACGATTAAAATAAAGGTAAATTTGATTAAGGTTTATTATACTTAAACCTTACCGGTTTTGAAATATTTTCAATTTTGTGAAATTGCAGTTAAAATTTTAAGGCTTCATTTCTCCAAGGGTATCAAAGTTTTTAATACTAAATGTTTACTGAAGTTTATTTACTGATCAGTTATTGTGTTGCAATAATAAAAATAATACTACCTTATACAGAGTGTCTAAAAATTTATTTTAAATAATTATTTGCTTCAAACGGCAATAACTTGTTTAATTTAAATGGAACACCCTGTATATTTTACGAGAATCAGATGCACAATTTAATTCTCTATCAACTTATATTATACCATTTTTTACCTATCTCTTTAAGTTTCCGTAGAAAATGCATTTTCTTGTAATTTAGAACTTATTTATCAATATACCCATGGACTATTGACATTTTAGATTATTTTTACAGATGTACCAAATTTTTAAAGAGTACAGATACTAATATTGTCGGTATAATTCATTTATTTCATTAAAAAATTAAAAAAAAACTGTTTAAATATTTGTTAAAGAGGATCAATTAACATGATTCCAGTATTCAAACTACATTAACTGACTGTTTGCGTTGATTAACAATAATTGCTCCAAATACTAAAAAACTGAATTTTGTATGGGCATTAGACAGTGTGATAAAAAGTAACACCTTAAAAATGAATCTCATTTTTTAATAAATGCTTATTTATAACAACAAAGACTTTAATTTGATAACTTATTATTATATTGATTTCTAACTCAAAAATCCACATTTATTTATAATAATTTATTAACGAACACAATTAAGTATGCCATTAATTAGTATATGGGCGGAAATAATGGTGTTATATTTAATTAATGGTATAGTCTTTTAAAAGATTTAAATAGTTTTTTTGCATACCAATGGGTTAGTAATATTATCGTTTTGCTAAAACGATAATATTACTAGTCTGTACATTTTGTACATTTGTTGCTTTAAAACAATCTAAAATGTCAATATTCCATGGATATATTGATAAATGAGGTCTAAATTAAAAGAAAATGCATTTTCTACGAAAACTTGAAGGGATAGGTAAAAAATGGTATAATACAATTTGATAGACAATTTAATTGTGCATCTGATTCTCCTAAAATATACAGAGCATTCCATTTAAATTAAAGAAGTTATTGCCGTTTGAAGCTAATAATTATTTAAAATGAATTTTTAGACACTCTGTATAAGGTAGTATTATTGTAACACAATAACTGATCAATAAATAAACTTCATTAAATATTTAGTATTAAAAACATTCATACCCTTGGAGAAATGAAGCTTTAAAATTTTTACTGCAATTACACAAAATTGAAAATATTTCAAAAAGGTTTAAGTATAACAAACTTTAATCAAATTTACCATTATTTTAATCGTAGAAACTAAAAATGTAATAATATACAGGGTGTTCCATTTAAAAAAATACAACTTTGATATTTGTTATTTATTTGGGACACTCTGTATCTTGTAAAAATATTTTTAAATTGTAGCTCTAATAGTCCTTCAACGAACCCCAAACTTACAATTTGTAAAAATCTCATCGTTTAGCTACAATACTCCGTGTCGTATGTGGTGAACAACCCTGTATATATAATTAAATACATATAAATAAACTATTGTTTTATATCAACATATAGATCCGATTCTGCTTGGTTTCGTAGCTACAGGGGTTAAAGTATTCGTTTTTTTTTTCGATTTATTATAATTTTCTTCTGAATGCATTTAGCGATTTGAATGAAATATTGTGTATCTACATATTTTATTTCTAAAAAATCTAATCCAACTCCTCTAATCCCTACTCTAATAGCAACCTCTAAAATTTTCTAATGTCATTAATTAGCGAAAGTGTCAAATAAGTAGGTACTCATTGATTCCTCATCAAAAAATATATAAAAAAATTATAAACATGGATACGAGAATTGTATAGTTTTAACGTTACAGGATGTTAAAACTTTAAAAAAATGGTTTTTTTGTCATTATCATAAATGCCATTTTTCTTGAAACATGCTGGAAGTGGTATTAAACCTCAGTGATATAAATTTCAATAATAAATTAGATTAAATAAATAATTTTATCTATACTAATCTATACTAATATATAAAATGCTTGAGTGACTGACATACTGATTAACACGATCCTGCTCAAACCACTCACCGTAAGAAGCTCAATTTTGGCATACAGGTCGATTCTAGGGTGTAGAGGTTCGATAAGAAAGGATTTTTCGAAATTCCACTTCCAAGAGGGTGAAACCACCCCTCAAATATGACAATATTTTTTTATTTAAAAAACGGTCAAGTTTCCCAAAAAATGCTTAAACACGTATATTTTATTTTGTATTTTTACATATTTTAAGATTTTTTAAAAATGTATACAGGGTGTTTCGAAAAATCTGGTAATTGATTAATCACGATCCTGCTTAAAGCGCTTGACGTAAAAAGCTGGTTTTTGGAAAACAGATTGACTTTAGGGTGTAGAGGTTCGATAAGAAGGGATTTTTCGAAACTCGAATTCTAAGGGGGTGAAACTATCCCTCAAATATTAAAATATTTTTTTATTTAAAAACCGGTGAGTTTTTCGGAAAAACTCTTAAACACGTATATTTCATTCTGTTCTTTTACATATTTTAAGATTTTTTATAAATTTATACAGGGTGTTTCATAAAATATGACCATTGAGTAATCACGATTCTGCTTAAACTGCTTAACGTTTAAAGCTGATTTTTGGCAAACGAATTGACTGTGGGGTGTAGAGGTTCGATAAGGAGGGGTTTCTCGAATCTGAAATTCCAAGAGGGTGAAAAGGCCCCTCAAATATTACAACATTTGTTATTTAAAAGTCTTTCGGGAAAACGCTTGGACAAGCATAATTTATTTGGTTTTTTTACATATTTTGAAATTTTTTAAAAAATCACACAAGGTGTTCCAAAAAGTTGGGTAATTTCTTAACCACGATTCTGCTTAAACTGAACTAAAATAAAAGTAACAGAGCCTCAAATTCTACTCTATACTTCTATACTTTTTTTGCTCAAATCAAAATTAACCGAGATAGGGTGGCTAGAAGCTAAGGGATGATAGTAGAAATTTAAAGAAAAATATATAATTTGTTGAAAAATTTATATATTTAACATTTTTATTCAATTTGTTTGGAAAGTTATAAATTTCAATTATGATTTTTTAAATTCACCCCGAGAAGGGGTGAAAAATATAAATAAAATGTTTATTTTTCAAAATTTGGAGAAACGGTAAATAAAAATGTTTTAATAAAAACTGTCCCCTATCTCGGTTAACTTTCATTTGAGCAAAAAAATATAGAGACCATTTTTATGTAAAATATGACACTACAACTTTTATTTAAACTTTTTTTTCTAGTCGTTACCGTTTCTCCGAAATTTCGAAAAAATAATTTTATTTATTTTATTTATTTCACCCCTTCTCGGGAGTAAATTTAAAAAAAATCTTTCACAATTCGTTTTCAGATCTTTTAATATAACTTAAGGTATAGTCTGTAAAACGAATAACTTTGAATTTGACAGTTCCCGCGGGCTTTTCTAGTGTTAATTTTAGCGACATCTAGCGACATTTATGACGTCACGCTAGTTAGATACTACGGATTAATAAATATGTTGTAGAATACATGGAAAATATAATTATTCCTCGTATTTTTGGTTTGTATTTTAAAAATGGTATAGTTTACATGAGATATAGATAATATACAGTTAATAAATACAATATATATACCTATTTATAGTAATAAATATTTTGGCAGATAAACTATGATCCATACAAATGCAGCAAATGTTTTACAATATGGCTGAAATCGTACTCCATAGTCAATGTAGATAGTTTTTGTGTTAAGAATAATAATTTAAAAAAATATGTGGTCATCTTTTGATTTAGTTTATTAATTGCAGTAAACATTATAATATATAAATAATTTTTGTGAATGCAAATAATAATACATCACTATTAGTAAATATTGAATGTTTTTTGTTAAATTAGATCGATTTTCAAACCCCAAAATTTAAAATATATTTTACATTTTAGCCATTTTCTTATGTACCACCTATTCATTCTTTGTATATTGTAAAACATTTGCTGCATTTGTATGGTTCATAGTTTATTTGCCAAAGGATTTATTACTATAAATAGGTATATATTATATTGTATTTATTAACTTATATTATGTATATTTCATGTAAACTATATCATTTTTAAAACACAAACCAAAAATACGAGGAATAATTATGTTTTCCATGTATTCTACAACATATTTATTAATACGTAGTATCTAACCAGCGTGACGTCATAAATCTCGCTCCGTGGCTGTTCTATTAGAGACGGCATTGGTCTAATATTTAGAAATGTCAAAAGCTGATGACATTTTACTTTTGTCAATTATGACATTTTGTGTTGATTTTTGCAAGAAGAGGAAGAACTGTCACTTGTTTTATTATTTTCCTTTTCTATTTCACGAAAGTAAAAGGAGTTACCTATCTGATTCGTTCAGGCACTCAATTTAAAGAATATCAGTAACTTTTTTGATAGAGGGATTTTATATTTGCCATGTTGGTAAAAAATAACGGTCAAAATTCAAAGTTATTCATTTTATAGACTATATCAAAAATTCAAGTTTTTACCAAAACTTCGCATTTAAAAAAAAAGAGAAAAAAAAGTGGTTCGGAAAATATTCCAGTGATAACCCATATGTCCCTGGTAAATCTGTTGTGACACTTTTTCGGTATTAAAATATTTCGCCTTTATAGTATCTTTTACCTTCAAAATTTCATTCGAATCATTAAAAGCAATTAGAAGAAAACTCTAATAAATCGAAAAAAAAATAAAGATTTTAACCCTTAAAAAATGAAGATATAAAAATGTAGCACGTATGTTGATATAAAAAATAAATCGTGTCCCCACGAGAGATAACTCATGTTTTTAGAAATACCATGTATACAAACAGAGCCGGACTTAGCGAAGTTGCCGCCCCAGGCCAAAAAAATTGCCGCCCCTTAAGCGGCAATTTTAATTAATTAAAATTTTATAAATTCACGAAAATGTATTAATTCATTAGGCATTGACTCATCTAAATCATTTGGATAACAGGTTATTAATTCAGTTCAATAATTAAAGTAGATAAATCACTAAAGAAACCAAATTTGGTTGAAAAGTCATTGTAGGCACTTTTCCTGTAGGAAATTTCAAGGATTAATTTATCAATAATAACATTAAATACATTTATCCTAAAATCGTCCCTAGCATTAAATAGAGTATCATTATCACTGATTATTTCAGCAAATTGTCGTTTCCGTTTCACTGTTCTCTTTTTATCTGCCGCATATTCTTTCTCACCGAACAATTCTATGGCCCTTCTTTCATATTCCTCAAATGATTTAGTATTTTCTAGATTTGTAATTTCAGAAAAATATTTTTCCAATGAGCTATACAAATCTGCAGCAAGTTGTTGATCAATATCCACCATTTGAAGCTTTTTATTGACCGCATCTAATCTATTTAAACCGTCTTTCCAAAATACCACCATAAAACCCATTTCTAGTTTTTGAATTATTGGTTAAGGAGACTGGAAGCATATAATTGGGTCTTAGGCTTTTCGTTAGAGTCAATTTCTGCAGAAATTGACTCCAACGTGGATTTTATTTCATTGGAAGACAAAGAGAGTGATTGGCAAGCTTCATTTCGTGCAGACCAACGTGTTTTTGATATATTTTTTAATGTTTTTGAATTTATTTTTTATATTCGAGGTATTTATGTATTGGATGCATGGCACAATGCAGTAAAAAATAACCCAAGCGAATTATATATTTAAACAATAATAATAGGTAAGTAAATAAATATGTAATCGACTAAGGCAATATTCGAAATATTTTATGAACAAATAAAAGTTAAAAAAAAAGATAAATATTTTGGTATGCTCGAAATTTGCCGCCCCTAAAAATCTGCCGCCCCAGACCCGGGCCTAATTGGCCTAGGCCTAAGTCCGGCACTGTATACAAAATAATCTTATACGCGATTCATCTTGACTGAACAGGATAAGACTTAAAGAATAAAAGGATTAAAAAATAAATTTATCCAATATTCACCCTTTCGTTGTACGAAAACGACAGTGCAGGGCGTAGACTTTTCCTGGTGTGATCAGCAATACTTAATGGCTGCGGTTCGTTGTACACTAAAGGCAGAGCCACAGGTCGGGGTGGCTCAGCAATAAACACCGGCCGAGGCTCGGCTGCTGACGTGTCCAGATCGAAGTCCTGATTGATCACTCGACAGTCCACACTAAAAACACACACCAACACTAAAGCAGTCCAAAGGTTCCAGAGCAGCGGACCGTTTCCCAAATCCCTAGTTATCCTCATAGCTGGTAAGATTGATAAACATTTGGAACGTAATTTTGGAGTGAACAGAAGGATACTATCGACAAGTTTTGGGGGGAAGGGGTCTATATAAAGCCCCTCTTCGTCGCTCCGGGGAGAGGATAATAATCACGTTTTGTTTAGCAACTACTGTAGATTTCGCATTCAATTAAGTTATTTAACTTAAACTAATTTAATGCTAAATAGCGGAATATTAAGAACAGACTCAATCAATTTGTCAATGGCCGGTTTATTACGACAGTTTTTTTTTTCTTTCTTTCCTTATTAAGCATGGTTCATCAGATTTTACGGTTCGGTAGTGCGCTATAACTTCGATCAAACGTAAATTATTATATTCTGGACAAAAAGAGATTGTGAAGAAACCTTATAAAAAGGATAGTATTTTTTTTAATCTATTCCACTGAACGTTTTTGAAATATCGTTCTCATCAAATAATGGTTTTGTTCAAATTGATTTTGTCCGGTTGATTCCCGCAGATGTCTTCAGGGTGGTCTCGGTATATAACTAAAAACAAGTAATTAACATTCTTTGCTTTATTTTATTTTTAATAAATAGGAATAGTAAAGTCTAAGCCAGAATAAATTAGTGGTTTCCATTATATTTTACACTTAAAAATTTACGTTTATTCACCCTCCCAACGTCTAAAAATATATCATGTCACTTATACCATACGATCGACAAAAAACGGCGTCTAAGTTGGCTGGGGAATGACAATGGATGATAATCCTGTCGAGGTTGAGTCCTAGACTTCATTATTTGGCCCATACTCTTCTTCATTTTTTAATGGCTCTAATAACGTTGTAATTTTATAACCATATCTCTCTAACTATCTTTAATCTATATTGATTAAAAATAGTTTTTAAATCATGTGTGTACTTTCTTAAAAAAATCTTCCTTAAATCGTTGTTTAGTAAATGTCATTCCCTAGCCGTTTTTGACGCCTTTTTTTCGATCATACGGTATATGGTGGTAGTTAGTCGTATACATCGAGAAAGCCTCAAACAGTGGCGGCTACAGAGGGGGGAGAATTGATAAATTTGTCCCCTTTGTGTGTACACCTTTGAAAAAGGAAATAAAACTTCCGAAAGCTTGGCGTAGGTAAAAATCTGTTTAAGTCTTCAGACCGCTATCCCTAAGAATTGTTTTTATACGAAGTTTTTTTTTATACGAATATATACGTATGTATGTACAAACATATACCGGGTGCGCCTCAAAAGTGACTCACCCCTATAACTTTTTTTATTTTTTCAGATAAAAATCGAAATTTGGTATGTTAGTACATGACATAAATTAGATTAATTGACGTATTCAACTGTTTATAGCTACTTCCTGTTTCACCGGAAATGACTACAGCTTTTAATTTTTAAATGGCACCCTCAGTATATTTCTACTTTATTAAATAGAAAATCACACTCTGAATAGAATGACATGCCAGCTTTTGACATTTTCGTATATTATGGTTACGCGGTTCATAACGACAATTTGACTCGAAATACCAAGTGTGTGGTATCAAATTATTGGTAAAAAAATGCTTTTTCCAAATATGCTAATGAGCGACCCATGTTCGGTTTGAAAAAATTGAGATATGATTAAAAATACGATTTGGGCATATTTTATCCGGCCAGGACAACATACGAAAATCATTAGACGATCAAATCTACTTTTCCAAGGCTTCTTGATTAAAAATTATTGTTTGTGACGCAGCCATGACACTCTAGATTGAAATTTAAAATACGATTTTTTTAAGCGAAAATGTCAAAAGTCAAAAAAAATATGATATGTCATTCTACTCAGAGTGTCATTTTCTATCGAATAAAGTTGATATATACCGAGAGTGCCATTTAAAAATCAAAAGTTGTAGTCATTTCCGGTGGAACAGTAACCGAAAACAATTGAATACCGTCAATCAATCCTAATTTTTCATATACTATCAGACCAAATCTCGTTACTCTTGCTTTGGCTTCTTTGTAATATGTATAATTAACACCTTGTATATCCGTTAATAAATAAACACTATTTAAAACAAATACCTGCGACCTTAATTTAATATCCTTTTTTATTTGTTTTTATTTCTTTTTTTATTGACTACGTCCATGAACCGTTTGACAGTCAATTACATTTTAGTGCAGTGTGTAATTGTTATTACCGACAGACGCTTTCACTAACTAAATCGCTGTAACAAACTAATAAATCAATTATGTCACAACGGCTGCTTATTACAATTTATTTTTACAGGGAATCGATAAATACTATTTTGCATCATTTCGATTTGTTGTGATTTTTGCCGTTTGTTAATGCTTAACCCAGATTAATAATATTTACTTAATAATCATCCGAATTGATTGCAAGAGTCTCCACCTCCGCTTCTTAATTTACAGCTTTTTTGTTAATTAAAATCGGTTTCTTTTTTCTTTCAATTAAGATTTGGTTACAGTCGGAACGATTTCTGTCGCAAACAGATTGATATTGCTTGCATAGAAACGAATAAAAATTGCTTGAGATTCCTCATTTAAACTTTGCAAATTACCGTACAATAAAGCACCGTCTACACTTAACGGGATCGTGATATTTTATTTCAACAGATTGGAGTGTGTGTATTTTAAATAATAAAAAAATAGTAAATTTTGAGAAATAAAAATGTTATATTGAGTCTAACAAACATAAGCAAATGGGCAGCTGATTTATATTTTGAGCGGTATCCTGAGGGCCAGTAACCAAACCCAGCCATTTTTAAAAGGTTAGAAGATAGTTTAATCAATTTTGGATCTTTTCAAAAACCAATCTGGTGGCCACCTGGTCATCTAATATCACTCCCTTGAACTTTTTTCTCTGGGGCTTTCTAAAAAACGAAATTTATCGAAATGCAAATTGAACATTAGAAGAGCTACAAGATAGTTTAGTTGTGGCTTTGCAAAATGTAACCAACATACACATTCGAAATTCGAAATGCTGTTAGCGGCGGCATGTGGGGATGGTGCCAACTCTGTCTAGATAATACCGAGCAGCAGTTTGAACATTTAATGTAGTCTTTGTATTTTTATTTTTTTTATATTAACGGCGAAGCCCGATTGAAGTAACCTATTGAGTTTATATTAAAATATGTTCATTTGTTGCTGTCACACTTATTTTTTATTTGCTTAGTATTGTTCGATTTTATTTAATTGCTAATACATGATTACAGTTGAGGGTTGGAACCTTTGGTGTTACACAGCAAAATAAAACACTAAATCACCACAATACACCAAAACACTTTTACTTTTACACTGGACGCGCGTTTCGCTAACCATGTTAGCATCCTCAGCAGATGATTTTAAACTTATGAGTTTCATCATGAGCATCATCTGCTGATGATGCTAACATGGTTAGCGAAACGCGCGTCCAGTGTAAAAGTAAAAGTGTTTTGGTGTATTGTGGTGATTTACTGTTTTATTTTGCTAATACATGGATTAATTTGAAAGTAGATATTTGCTTGTTTCCTCTTGGTTGGCATAACCTACCAAGAGGAAAATCGATATCTTTAAATAAATTGGAATTTTAAAGTTAAAAGAGAAAATAAATATATAGTGTTATATATTTTCGAGAAGCCCATGTCAAGCTGAATCGGGAAATTTAAAAATATACAGGAGGTTCTATTTAAAAAAAACATGTAAGAATATAGTTAATACCGAGGTTAATACCTAAAAAAATATATTTTTCGAAAAAAGTCTGACTACGCCACTGTATTCCACACAGAAAAATGCCTTTAGGATGTTTAATTCATTTTTGCGTAGTTGGGCTCAAATAAAAAAACTATCGAACATCTTCAAAAAGTACAAAATTTGAGAATCCCCCTGTAGCTTCGAAATCAATTAGGATAGCCAGGATCCGTTTGGGCCATTGTGATTTTTCCAAAAAAAGAACCCGAGACTGCAGTATCAAAATTTGAATATTTCTCAGGGTTTTCTATATACCATATACAGGGTTGTTCACCACATACGACACGGAGTATTGTAGCTAAACGATGAGATTTTTACAAATTGTAAGTTTGGGGTTCGTTGAAGGACTATTAGAGCTACAATTTAAAAATATCTTTACAAGATACAGAGTGTCCCAAATAAATAAAAAATATCAAAGTTGTATTTTTTTAAATGGAACACCCTGTATATTATTACATTTTTAGTTTCTACGATTAAAATAAAGGTAAATTTGATTAAGGTTTATTATACTTAAACATTACGTTTTTGAAATATTTTCAATTTTGTGAAATTGCAGTAAAAATTTTAAAGCTTTATTTCTCCAAGGGTATCAATGTTTTTAATACTAAATATTTAATGAAGTTTATTTATTGATCAGTTATTGTGTTGCAATAATAAAAATAATACTACTTTATAGAGAGTGTCTAAAAATTTACTTTAAATAATTATTAACTTCAAACGGCAACAACTTCTTTAATTTAAATAGAATGCCCTGTATATTTTAGGAGAATCAGATGCACAATTAAATTGTCTATCAAATTGTATTATGCCATTTTTTATCTATCCCTTCAAGTTTTCGTAGAAAATGCATTTTCTTATAATTTAGACTTCATTTATCAATATATCCATGGAATATTGACATTTTAGATTGTTTTTAAAGCAGCAAATGTACAAAATGTACAGACTAGTAATATTATCGTTTTTAGCAAAACGATAATATTACTAGCCCATTTGTATGCAAAAAGAAAACTATTTAAATCTTTATCAAAGAGTATACCATTAATTAAATATAACACCATTATTTCCGCCCATATACTAATTAATTACATACTTAATTGTGTTCGTTAATAAATTATTATAAATAAATGTGGATTTGAGTCAGAAATCAATATAATAATAAGTTATAAATTAAAGTCTCTGTTGTTATAAATAAGCATTTATTAAAAATGAAATATCATTTTTAAGGTGTTAGTTTTTATCACACTGTCTAATGCCCATACAAAATTCAGTTTTTTAGTATTTGGAGCAATTATTAT